GCGCGACTCTTATCCGCGAGCGACCCAATTCCGCCGTGTCGCGACTTCCAAACTCGAGCGTCGCTCTTATCCGTAGAAAGTCATCCGTCGACGGCCGGGGAGAGCGAGAGACCGAGCTGAAATTTCACACGCGACTCACATAGATAAGGGTTGACCTGCCGATGAGGCCTGAATTCCTTACCGCGCACGCGCGAGTGTTTGTCAGGAAAATCCGACAATTTAGAAAGTTATATCGCGCGATTCTCTGCGCCATCATTCTCTGCGTCGTCGCCTCCCTTACCGAACTCCGGCGATTCGTCCAATTAGTCACGTACGCGCGAGCATAATCGAGACTATTATTCCGTTACGTCGATACCCGAAGCACCGGCCATCGCACATCGCCGCAAATCGCTGCTTCTCCTCGACCGAGCGATCGACCGATCGGCGATGAAAGGAGCAAAGGAAAGAGTAATATCTCGAACGATACTTGTCATCTCTCCCGCGGCCACGGTGGAATGCGCGCGCGCGCGCGCTACAAAGGCGGTGCGCGCTCGAGGAAAGAAGTTGCGAAATGACGTATTCGTTATTCGATGCAATTAGTCGATTTGGGCTAGCGAGGCAGAAGAGCGAGCGAGCGCGCGCGCACACGGAGAAATTGCAAAAGATTAACATCTTCTGGCGCGTACTCTAATTAAAGCAGGCAGCAACAAGCGGATTATAGTGATTATGGTCCGCTGTCTAATTTCAATGAATTTACCGTGTCGATCGTATCTCTCGCCGCTTCGTGCTTTGGTATGCTAATTACGCGAGCGGGGGGAAAAACCTATAGAGGAAACCGAAGACTGTGAGGCACGATTTCTACGTACGAACGTTGTGAATATTAAATTGCGCATTGCTACTCGCCGATGGAATTTCGATACTTACGGCCCGTAATCGCGCGCGCTGCCGTTAATCGCCACGTTGCATTTATTAAAATCTCAAATTATTATTCGTTCGCCGTCGCGCGCGCGTTACGTGACGACGCATGGTTGAAGGCAAAATCCCCTTCCGGTCATAGGTCATCGGGTTTTTTTAATGTCACGACGTACGTCAGTTTCTACGTCTCAAGTGGATTATCCCGTAATTTTTACTCGCGTTTCATCACTCAGACTCAGTGATCGAACACGCGAGAAGCTGCAAATTTGTTTCCGTAGTGTTGCCGATTTGCGTGATCGTGTTCGGTCTAAGCAGAGCTTAGAGCATTTCCGTCCTCGGGAGCGGCGCAACTCCGGCGTGTCACTGTATTACTTTTAATCACCGCTACTAGTCAAAGCGAGACCGATCTCTCGAAACGAGGGGAGTTCAATTAGAGAATGGGATGAATCAGGCCGCGCGCTGGATCACGATCGACGCCAGAGAGAAAATGGGCCTTCGCTCACCACTTGCCACACGTTTGTAGGGCACCGCGATAGAAGGGCGTTATTACGGCACTGCCTCTCGTCGTTGCGTTTAGGTTACTTGAAGATCGCGATGATGAGGGGGACCTTATAAGGGATGTTTAAAGCCACCGCCGATCGTCATCGTCGCCGTCGTCGTCGTCGTCGTCGTCGTTATCGTCGTCGACGGCTTTCACCAATCTTGTCGAATCGGATTCTCTCGCCGACTCGCCCGGCTTCTAATCAGCCGAGGAATTGGCCGCCGCCGATCGATCCCTCGGCCTCGCGATCGCGAAAGGAAAGCGGCATCATCATCATCATCATCATCATCATCATCATCATCATCATCATCATCATCATCATCGTCATCATCGTCGTCGTCGTCGTCGTCGTCGGATTCTCGGAGCGCGCGATATCCGGGAATGCAGGTATTTTCCAGTCGGTCTGTCGCCCTGCGGGATTAAAAGTAGCCTAACCAGGCAAACTCGAAACACGAAAAGAAAGATTGGTTGAATCAGTAACGCGACAATGACAACTAAACGCGTTTTCGTTGAAGGATATCGAACTTCTGGTTCTTATAAATCCAATTTGGTCCTTGAGAATCAGGACTTCTATATCTTTCGATCGGAGCTCGAACGGAAATCGAACAACAAAGAACCAATTTCAAAAATCGTTTCTCGGAGGAAAAGATCGACTTTCTGAAAATCGAACCGAGATCACCAAGCAAGTTTGTCCGAATAAGTCCTAACGAGGTCCTGCGAAGGACCTTGAGGCGAGATTCTCGAGTTGCTCCCGTGTTCGCAGTTCCTGCAAATCTCACGAGTCCGATTTGTCTGATTGACTGATCTGATCGGCTCGTCGGTTTTGTAACTAGAAGGGATTTGCTTGTCTCGACCTTTGTTCCTGTCTGATTCGTATCATTCGACGCTGTTCTCTCCACGCGATGTTTTCTTTTAATCCGCAAGGCAGAATATCTCCCTCGTGGCTCGAAGGAACCCGAGAGGCCCTCACGCCACTCGAATTTGAGGACGCGCGGTGTAATTTTCGTGATTAGCTCGGCCGAGCTTGGGCTTTTAGCGAGTTGCGAGAGCCTGTTCACCTTCTGAAGGTAGGACGGAGGTGTGGCGCACCTCGTCCTACAACAATGATCTCCATAGATGGAAGATTGCGCGAAAAGAGCAACGCAAAGGTCGCCATGAACGAATCGCGTGCGGCGAGCGCAGAGGCAAACGAATCGTCGACAGTCAAAAGTCACGACGGGAACAATCGTACGCGACAATTCGTGCACTTTGAGAATTCGCCGGGAAAGATTTCTTCGCGGAAATAACGATCAGCTGAGATTTCTCTGGATGCGCGAAGGGGAATTCTCTCTCTTTCTCTCTCTCTCTCTCTCTCTCTCTCTCACACACACCTCCGTCTTCCCCCAAATGACACCCGCGACTTCGCTGTTTCGCAGAGAGGAAAGACTGCGTAAATTCAAAATGATTCACCGTGCTTCCTGAGATCCTTAATTAAACGCAACTTTTTTTTCTGCGCAGCGCGCTTCGAATCGAAATGTCAGGGGCTTGTTTGTCTATCCTGTCAAAAGTCTGACTTCCCCCGCTGTGTTTCGCAAAGATTCGCTCGCGATGTGACGAAACTGACGGCCGCTTCGTCGATAGTAGCGCGTAAGAAGGAAAAAAATGTATAAAAATAACTGAAAAGAATACTCATCGGAGTCCCCTCGGATCCTTGGGATTCAACAGCACCCGAGGATCCACCCGGATCGCTGATCTTTCCCTGCGTTCCACGAGACACGCGCGTTCTCAAGTTAATGTTACTTTCTTCTCAGCCTACTTTGCCTAGCGTATGCTAAAGCTAATCCTAGAGATAATGGTGGCTGTCTAGCCCGTTAAGGATACGAATCCGAATTCCGAGGTTACCATGGTAACAAGATGTAAATGTAAGAGAGATGTCCTTTTTCCTTATTCTCCTTCCTCCCCTCTTTTTTTTTAACGAACACCGCGACGCAATAATACTCAAGGCGGTCTCGAGAGTCGCGCGTGAAGCAACAGATAAATTCCGGCGAGGAGAAACGAATTTGGCACACTTGTGAGTACAATCGGAAGCCGAACGGTTCCAATTGTCTTCACATGCGCGCGGAGAATGCGAAGCTCCCCGATGCGAAATTTCTGTACTCTTGGAGAAGCTGAAATGATATATTGTATCTGTACAGAGCGACTTAGCATTAACGAGAGGTGTCTCAACGACGTACTGTCTGAGGTAGATTTGAGGTCGATTTTCTTGGCGAAGATTTAATTTGGTGTTTTTAACTTCTCCTAATTATATGTTATTTTTTGTTCTAACGTCTGACAGAATTTCATTAAACATTCTAATTCATGTATGTACATACCTGGATATATATTCATATTTATACCTGAAAATACACTTATGAATAAAAATTAAGTGTTCAAGAATATATATGGAATTATATCGAGAATTATTAAATATTTCAAGTGATTCAAGAGATACTGGAATTCGTTGTAGATCGCGCAATTAAGCTCGGTGTTAAAATTCTGGTTAAAACCTCGGAGAATCTCCGTCCCTGAGATATTCTTGCAGTGCAAGAACGCTCTGTCTACGTAACGTGCGCGTCGGCCTACCCAGTACAAAAGCAAATCGTTATTATGATATTTTTTATTGTCACGGATTATTGTGTTATGTGAATAATTACATTTTATGTTGTTAACGAAGTCGTAATATATATATATATGAATATAATACATGTTTCTATACTATATATATAGATACGCAAATATATATATGGATTTATATATATATATATATATGTATATATATATATATATGTACATGTATACGTATACACACTAGTAACGTACCCATACGTGCGTTAACAACGTTTATGTCGATATTGACAATCGTATCGCTCTCTACTCCCCCGATCTTTTTTTTTTATACAAACGCCACCGTCCCGTTTCCTATAAGGCTCGTTGCATTTATTTCTTTTTCCTTTCTTTTTTTTACCTTAGTAATAGAAACGATTGTCTGAGTTTCTGCCCTGATAGCTCCGCTTCAGCAATCGCGAGGGTCGTTGAGTGATCCACGAAGATGATCCGCGAAGAAACGATTCTCATCGAGGATAAATCTTTCTTCTTTCTGCCGAGTGCAATATATATACACATATATACATACATAACGTACGAAATTCCCAGCTAACTTATTGTCAACGAGAATATAATTTAATTGAATAAATACGAGATGATGTTTATATATATATACACACACACACACACACATACATACACTTATTATATCGAGTTAAGCGTTTGTTTCTTCTTTTCAATTGTTTCGTTGGAAATCGCGATTCGTCGAGGAATTTACGAGTGGCGCCGATAATCATCGGGAGATTGTATATAATCGCGTTGAACTGTAGACGGCTCGAAGAAACGAGGACCCTTCGTTCCTTCAAAGATCCTTCGAATCTTTAATTCTCGATCGATTATAAATTAATTAGTTTCGACTCGACCTTGGTATAATCGTCGTTCTTCTTTTAGTTTAACTTTTAGTGCATTAGAAAAATTTTGAGAAGCATCGTGTGTATATATATATATATATATATATATATATATCGTGTATATATATATCGTGTATATATATATATATATCGTATATATATACACATATATATATATATCGTGTATATATATATATATATACATATACATATATATACATATATATACGAGAAAAAGATGTCCCCCTGAACAATCCTTCGGCAGGATATTCTTTGCTATTGCTCACGAGTGTATAATAATTCGGGTAGCATTGAATGGCGAACCAGCCGACACAGCAATTTAGAGATTTAGACGAAACGACGAAGAAATGTACCTATTATTTTTGTACTTAGTTTTAATAAAGGTTTATATGCTTTTTTATAAAAAAAAAGGAACCGATTAAGACGACTTATACTTAATCAACTCTAGAGGTTTCATTTGAACCAAACCGTCATTCAACCTAAAGAGTTGCATCCGTTGAATATTTTCGGTGGATCATATGGGTTATTATCGAAGATCTTTGTGGATAAATATACAGCCAATAGTTAACTAATGTTATCGTACAGCTGAAAAATAAATTCTCAAAATAATATAGTTTTAATAATCAAGATAATTGAGTAGAAGAAAATGATTAAAAAGCGGATAATTAAACACTTCCACTTAATCATCAGGAATATTTTATCGCTTGTTTCGATAACTGCGTTACGATTGCGTGACATTAAATGTCACAACTACGTTTGGGAATCGTGATATAATAGAGAAATATGGCTCCTTGATGTAAGATTAAATAATATAGTGTTTATTCGTAACATCGTGTGTATACAAATGCTCCGTAAATTCGCGTGTAAATTATTATGTTTCTCTCTTAAACGATACATGTTAACAGATCGTGCGTCATCGATGCTTGTTTCTTCTTTCCCCTCCTTTCCTCCTCTTTAAACAGCTAAATATAAAATATCTCTTGAATTTTCCTGCTAATTCAACGTTACATCACATCCGCGCGCTTCGAAAATATCTGTTTGTTAAATCGAGAGTCGCGAGGAATTCCTTTCTCGAGCATCTGATATACACAGGGTAAGTATAATTAGAAATAGAATACTTCAGCATTTCCTCAAGTTTCTTAAATTCGAGGATACATGCGCTTGCACGCGCGCACGCGGAAGAATATGAGAAACATAACTTGGTCGATTCGGATTTTCTCCAAGGATTTATTCGATGAAGATTATTCGCAGCGTTTGCCAATTCACTACTTCTAACCACCGTGATTTTATTTAATCGCTTGCAACAAGTTTTTTACTCCTTTGCATTTTCAGCAATCCTCTCGTAATTCTTTCCTCTTTTAATTTTCTCCAATAACTTATAAGAGAGGAAGAAACGCACACGATGTTCCTCGAGACTCCGATCGGGTCTGTCTTCTAAGCAGACTGAATTCAAATGCGTTCAAAACGGTTTGCCCGCTAATGAAGTTTGCGTAGAAGTGAGAAATCTCGTTTAGTATAGTATAGTGTAGTGTAGTGTAAAGTACATGTGGTATTGTCGGCGGACGGGTCTCATTGCGAATCGTTGGAGATATTTAAATTCGTTTGGCAGCTCCAGATTCAGGTCGATTCAGGACACCGATAATTCACAATAAAAATTCCGAAGGTGCCAGAGAAAAAAAAACAGTGATACATGTTACGAAAATAAGCCCGTATCTACGTGATCTCTAAATCTACTTGACGCGGTTCCGCTATTCAATTGCTTATATCGGTAAGAAAAACGATCAGAAATTGCATACTGCGCAATCGTGAGAATTATTAGAGACCGTCGTGAGTTTCGCCGTAAGTTTATCGCTGTCACTTTCATTGTCCCAAATGATCCGTAATTATCGAGGTACAGCTCGCTCAAGTAAATCCCACGTGTGCGAGCCAAGAGCAGGCTCTGAATCCAAGTCAGAGGCGCGAACAATATTTTATTGTATTTACATTACAAAATCGAATCAACGAGAGAGAGAGAGAGAGAGAGAGAGAGAGAGAGAGAGAGAGAGAGAGAGAGAGAGAGAGAGAGAGAGAGAGAGAGAGAGAGGAGCAGAGTCCGAAGGCGATTTTATCGTTGAAAAAATGGTCTCCCTCCTCTCGAGCGAGCGCGTCCTCAAGGAGAACGATAGAAAATAGTCATAGGGATGCGTTTGCCGCGTCTAAGGATGTCCTGAACGTGCCCAGAGAAAGATCCTGCGAGAATAGGGCGTGGGAATGGCGTGCGAGAAAAATAGATGTATACTTTATTCGATAGAGTAGGATAGTATACTTGGACGATATCGTACTCGCGCCTCGCAGCCGAGATCTCGATCGCGGGGTATCGAGACCAGTCGATACGATCGCGTGCACGAAAACGTCGTTTGGCCCTCTATTAGCAATTGCAGCGAATGAACAGTGAGATAGCGCGATGCGTTATCAGCAATTAACACGCGATGGACGAGGCGCGCGTATATTTCGCAGGATGCGATGGGCTCTAAGAGAGCAGCTTGTCCTCGGGAATGGTCGGGCTGGTGGCCGTCGGAGCCGCGGACGTACGCCTCATCGCCTCGGACTCCCGAAGGGCCTCGTCGAAGCTTTGCGTCGAGTTGGATCTTGAAGGCACGACTTTCGTCTGCAAGAAGAAGAGTCGGGTCTCTAAGCGAAAGGCGAGCGGTTTGACGGTCGGATGCTCATACGTTTCCATTGAAACGCGAGTTTAATGTCTAATCCCTGATCAATTTCAAGCTTGATTTATCTCGTAAAGTTTTGTTGAGCGCGGATATTGATGTTGTATCTTGGTGATATCTTGAAACACGATTACGATTACGACTACATCTTCTTAATTCTGTATGAGACTTTTTTCGACAATTGTTCAGCTGAGTTTGCATAATTTGTTTCATTTCTCGCGTGTTAGCTGATCGTTTGAGTCGTATCCTTGTTTGAAATGTCGCCTAACGTCAATCACCTTGACATTCTCGTAGGCTGATCCGACCCTCTCCTCCAAGGATCGGAAACTGTCGGAGTTGCGCATCTGGCCCAATTTCATAGAAATTCCACTACCAAAGCCGCCCAGGATACTCGTCGTCTTCTCAGCCGTGCTCTTGAAGACGGATTCTGTCTTTTGGAATCTGACACACGATAAAAAGTGAGCGATCATTATTAGGCTGGTTAAGATCGTCAATCTTTTCGCTGTGGATCATCCTCCGCGGAAGTAACAGAAGTGTTTATTAGGAGAGTAATCTAAGTTTATTAATCGTTTGAGTGCCAAGCGGCGCGATCGCGCTTCTTCTGTCCTGTCCTCAAAGCTCTCTGTCCTGCGCTCTAGGCTGCGAAGCCCATAATCACAGCAGGCTCGGTTTCTATCGATGCGCGACTTTACGGTTACCTTTCAGTCTTAGGTAAATTAAAAGATAAAATTGGAGTAAGCAGAAAACAGCGCAATCATGCTCTTCGGCATTTTTGGACGCGGAATATGACAAGCGCTATCGCGCCGCTTGACAATTTTCGATTGGGAAACAAGAAAGGCCCGTGGCACTCAAACGATTAAGAGAGTCGATCAATTTGATTAACTTCTAGTCGGCACTGCGGTACAAAGCTGACTAGTGTTAGAAGTGGGAGATTAGTGCTTTTAGTGCGATTCAATTCATTCTCGGTCAAATAAAGGCTGCTTTTTCAGCAATGACGGGCAAAATGTTGGGCTGCGTACTTACAAAGTGTTTTCGGAAACCGCCTTGGTAAACTGACCGAGTTTCTCGCCGACGTTCTGATAACTGAATGAGAACCCAACCAAAAGTCAAAGAAATCAATGCTTCTACGTGTCTGAAGGGCAGAAGAAGAAGTGGAGTATCAACAAAAAAAGGCGATCGCCATTCATCCGTCGGATCGCAGAAGCGGAAACGAGAAGACATAAAAGAGTGAAAGAGGTGAACGAGAATTAAAAAAGATCAGGAGACACAATGAAAAGAAGAAGAATCGAGGAACGCGATTCATCCATTTTTTTTCTTCTTTTTTCTACTTTTGAAAATCAATCAATCTTCCGGTAAACGTCGTCGTCGTCATCATCATCGTGCATGCTTTCTTGAAAAGTGCGATAAGACGCTCGCAAAGCGAGCTCGAAGGATCGTGCCCCGATCGATTCAACGACCCTGTCACAGACAGTTCCTATCCACTTCCCCCTTACATAGAGAATACAGCAACGTATATATAGAGTGTATAAAGAGTGTGTGTAGACAGAACGTGAAAGAAGCATGCAGAGGAAGCGAGCATAACCAGCGGGGTACGTACACCTGACTCTCCTTGACATTCTTGAGACCCTGATTGACGTCGTCGGTGAGCTCCTTCCACACGCTGATGCCCAGCTTCCTCTTCAGCTCCTGCGCGACCCTGACCTTGCTGGCGAGAACGTGTCTCAGAGTCTGTATCTCCTCCTCCACCTGCGATTCGACAGTTATATCCTGGCCCTTGGGTCCCCTTCCGCTCTTCCGCCGTTGTTGATCCAACTGTGTGCGAGACTTACCTTCGCGAGCTCCACGCTCCATTCGGCCTTCTGGCGTTCTTGTTCCTCCAAGGACAGACCCTCCAGCTCGTTCGCCACGTTATCCGACGTCGGTGACAAGGAGCCGGCCGAGTGAAGCGAGGCGTCCTCTCCTGGGAACAAAAATCAGCGGGAATTAGCCACGGTAGACGCGATACCGGGCCGAAGTCGAGCGCTGAGGCCGATTGCCCGGCGACGTTGGTTTTCAAGTCGTGCTCGCGCGTGAATTGTTGCCCACGCGCGCGCGACGCGTGTGGGCAAACACAGATATTCATCAGAAACTAAAATTACCCGTGTCGACGGAGGAAATTTAAAACCGATAAAAGTCAACAACGTCGGACAAGTGTCTCGTCACGCGCGAGACGCGCCGTGACTTATGGCTGCATTCACCGTTAAATTAATCGGTGCGCAACACAGGCTAAGCCGCCTGATAACCATGGAGCTCGCCGGGAGGAACGGTCAAACCAGTTCGTAGTTACATATCGGGGAAACCGAGCAGGCTCCGGATTGCACAAGCGAGCGTTCCCCGGGATTAGATTCATTACAGGTCGCTATGATTCATACTCGTACGCGTTCCGCGTGTCGCGTCGCCTCGCGTCGCGAAATCGAAGAAATGCGACTCCGAGGGCAAAAATTCGCGGGTTCGGAGGCATATTCGATCGCACGGAAGAAAAGTTGAAAAGTGCGCGTAGGTCATATAGTGCGATGGTGTAGCGCTCTCGAAATTTCTTCGGGGGAAACTCCACTCGGAAAGTGGAGTGACGGCCGAGCTATTTAATTTCGAAACTGACTTTCCACTCATGGCGTGGAAACTCTCCATCCCGAATCGCCGGGCGGATATTTTCGCTCGAAATTAAAAAGCGAATCTGATTGTGCTCCATCGTAATTGGAAGAAAGAATTCCCTCGGAAATCGCGCGCTCTCACGTGCGCGCCGAAGAGAGAAGAATGCGGCGCGATTGTTTCAATTTGCAGCCGACAGTTTCGCCGATTTCGTCACGTCGCGAAGGAATGCGCGGGGCTTCGCAGTTGTCAGCGGAGCGAAACGTCGTCGTCCTAGAAAAATTCTCCAGGCTCGCGCTGTACTCGATCGCGCGATTCTTACGATCCTCCTTTTTGTTCGCTGCACTTTCACGCGTAAGAAGAGAAATGGGATAGACAGCGAGAAGTTTCCGGGTGCAAAAACGCAGAAATCTCTCGCGTGAAAGTCGCGAGCGGATCGTTATACCGATAATCATCGGAGAATCTCGCCGAGAATCTCCGAAGGTGTAGACCCAAAAAGTACAGAGACGAAGCAATAACATTTAGAGAAGTCAAAAGACAGCTTCCAGATCAAATAAAGCAAGACGCGAGATTCTCTCGGAGAGGCTATTTCTCACGATGTTATCTCTATCGATCTCTTAAATATTACCATCCGAACGACAAAATCCCGTCCACCCAATTTCGTCCTCGAATATTCCAATCCGCCAGACAAATCCCAAGACAATCGCAAGAAAAAAAAATCGCGACGCGAACGAACGCCGAAGCGCGATCTCTCCTTTTTTGCCGCGCGGCACCTTTTACCAGCTCGAGGAACCTCTTGTAGTTCTGACTGTTGCTGATCTTGGCGAGGTATGGCTTGGACAGGTCCTGGAAGATCACGCGCACCGATCGCCGTTTCCTGCGGCTGCCAGCGTCGCGCGAGCCCGAGCCTTCCGGCAAGAACTCCGTCTCCACGGTCAGGTTGCCGTCGTCCACGACGATCTCGTCGATCTCGCCGTTGGAGTCGCGCCAGCAGTGCACCACCAGCTCATCCTCGTCGTCGTCGACTACGTCCATGTCGTCGAAGCTCGGCGTGCTCGTCAGCTTGGAGTAATACACGTCCTCTTCGTACTCGAGCGACTCGAACTCGCGCTCGTTCTCGCTCGAACAGCCCTCGTCGCCGTGTTCAGGGCAGGTTTTCTTGCGCGACTGACTCGTCTTCGAGTCCTGGGACTCGACTTGCTTGTGATCTGCCATGTGACTTCTCATGGCTTTGCTTCGGAGGATGCGAGCGATCGCTTCGAGGTTTCGCATTGAAACTCGGCGGTAGACGACGCGAGGAGCGGACGAGGCAGCCAGTGACGGAGTAAGTATTGTTGAAGTGCAGAGGAAGTGCGAGTCGGCGACTTCTAGTCGGCTTCTTCGAGCTTCACCCTCTCGTTAAATCCAATCCCCCTCGTCTCCATTAATCGTTTAATCGTCGTTATCTATCCATCATCCTACACGAGGAAGCACTTTGAAATCCGGAGATGTCAACTTGATCTCTCAGACGTGACTACTCCGTCCAATCCGATACATTTGATCGACAAAGTTGCGGCATTCGTTCAAACAAATTAATCGAGAATGCAAAATAAAAATCCGAAATTCGTTCTCCTTAATGGCAAGCTTGATTTTCGTCGAGAAACGCGCTTTTAACCGCCTTTCGTTTGTAACGAAAGTCTACGTTAAAATCATCCAAGTCCTACAGAGAATGAAAACTCTTTCTTTCTATGAGCAATCACAGCTGATAACGGAAAGGAATAATGAAGAAAATTGCGCATCGCATGCTGAGCTCAGCAGCGAGCCGGCGGACACGTTGAGGAGAAATAGTAATCAGGAATCACGAGCTGCAGCTTCGCCAGGATTTCGACGGGAAAATCCGCGGGCGGGAAAACACGCCGCGCGAGTCATCGTTTATCACAATCGACCAAGCACCAGCTTTTATCCTTGGTTAGAAATAACACCATACATATACATACATACACACGCACGCGCGCGCACACTCACACACACACACACACACACACACACACACACACACACACACACACACACACACACACACACGCACACACACACACACACACACACACATGCACATACGAGTAAGAAATGTTGACTCGAAAATCCGCGCGGAAAATTCAATCTCTCGGGGGAGATCGAGTCAATTCCCGGATCTTTCTCTCTCCCTTTCTCTCTGTCTCTCTCTCTCTCGCTCTCTGTGGCGACTTTGTAACTCGACCCGATCTCTCACTTTCGGCCGATTTGTGTGTAAAAAGCGACCACGTGTGCCGCGCGACGCGTGCATACGCGACTAACAGCTGTGCTCGCGCTCGCGAAGGCGCTGTGTTCCGGGGAGAGGAGAAATCGAGTGAGTGGAAAATCAGGACGGTAAGTGGGCACGGGCGGGGGAGAAAGGGGGCAAGAGGCTGGTGGCCTCGGTTCTCTCCAGCGAGAGATGGAAGGGACGCAGTGGTGGTGGTTCTCCTCCAGGTAGAGACCTATATAAGTCTCAAAATGACAATGGTGGAAACATATGACTATCATGATGATACAATTGAATTACGAAACAGCAAATGCGACGAATTAATAATTTCACTGGATAGTACATCTTTTATCAAATAATCGCCACCTTAATGCGTTGTGCCATTATCCCGCTCATGAAAATGCGATCATCATGAAGATTATTTATAAATACGATGAATTTTCGTAATTCCGTTAGGTGTAGTGTATTTCCATATGGTCATCCATTCCATATATTCATGCAATTTATCGTTAACATAAGCGTAAAAAACCATTGAAGGAATGTGTATAATACTGAAGCAAGCATTATTGCTTGAAATAACAACACTCTGCGACACGGCAGGTTGCTCGCGCAATCTCTCTGTATATACGCGTCCGCGTTGTAGTTTTTCTAATTAGCATGTCAATTAAGAGCAAACCCATTAATTCCTGTTCACATTCTCAGGGCTCAGTCACGCTCTAAAGCCCGTGTCACACTACGGATTGAAGATCAAGGATTGCGGATTGAAGATTAGATTTCGACAAATCAACGAACTTCAGTTTTGATTCGCTTTATTCCGATTGGTCAAATTTCAATCTTCAATCCGCAATCCTTGATCTTCAACCCGTAGTGTGACACAGGCTTAAGGAGCGTCCCGGCATGTTACCGCGTCTCCGGTGTTCCGTCATTCGCGATTTAAATCGCTCGCTACTTCTGTTCGCTTTAATTCGGTGTTCAGCGGTGATCAGCGTAAAATGGAAAAAGTAGGCTATGTAAAAGGAGAATGGATGGATAGACGGATAGAAAGAGAGACGGGAGAGAAGGGGAGGAGGAGAAAAAGAGAAAGAGAGGAAGAAAAAACAAGAGCGATTCAGCGTTTTGGCCGGTGCATCGACCTTTGCGGACCGCTCCGCTTCCTCTCGCGATCGATGATGAAAGCGCGGAAGCGTGGCGAAGACGTCGTACATATAACAAAAGTTCCTGAAACTTCGCGGTACCTCCGTCAAACCGGTTTATCGATCCGACTCGGCGGCGGATTCTTGTCCTTACTTAGCGGTACGTGTTTAGCGCTAGAGGCGGCCGTTGTCCGGGTTCCCTCTTTTTTTCCTCTTGCACGTCGAGTCGAGAGTCGCGTTCGTAACGTGGCCATTAGATTTAAATGGACCACAGTTCCCGTCGCAACGCGACTTTAATAAGAACCTGCCCTCGATAATCAGCGAATTATAAACGGGACTAAGATCGGAGCAAGTAAAAATACAGCGAGAAACAAAAGTCTCATTCGAATTTTGTGATTTCTCCAGAAGTGATTGCGGTGTTTCCGTGTTTGGCTTAACGACGCTTAACGTCTTGCCTTAACGCTTAACATGTATTTTTCAAGATAAAGTAAGACTAACGTACCGCAGATGTGCATCATTCACTTTTGTTTGTTGTCATATATTTGACTAAATTGTAACTAAAAAGGATATACGTCGATATACTCGTATAAACAATATAATTTAAATACTTTTGTAACTACTACAGAGGACATTTCTTGATGTGCGAAAAATACGACATTACAAGCACGCACCTTACTCATTTTACATATATTCATTTTGATCGAGGAATTATCCAAGATAAAACCGATTAATCTCTTGCTCTCACCTGTTTTTCATCATTATTAGCTCGAGGTTGAAATTTTTAACGAATACGCGGAGGAACGTGAGCAAGAGTGACTAATCGGTACGCGGCGGAAAAACGCGGAGGCGTAAGAAAATCCAACGGAATCGCGAGGCGCCGGTTGCACAACGTAACCGCGCGCGCGCACACATGTAAATGTACGTACGAGAGTTCACAAGGTCATCTCGCTGGAAACGTCAAGACGGCGCATAATCGTAGGTTAGAATTCGATCGTGCGACCGTTATCGCGCCTCCGAAGGCTGCCTACCAACCAACTCTTGGCAACGACGCGGTCTAGCCGAGAGAATTAGTAGTAAACGATTCCGAGAATAAACTTTTCGATAATCGAAGCGTACGACGAAGTCGATGATCTCACCTGTTGGTACGTTGCTCATCTCGCTGGTCTCGTGGCGCAGAATTGCGGCGAAATGGTGAATTTCCGTCGAAGCTACTGAGACGTCGGTCCCGACGTTACGTAACCGATCGGCGAGCGCGAATTGCTCCACCAGGAAACGATGAATAATACGCGTTCTCCGGTACCGAGCGAAGATCGATCACTTCGTCTCCACCGTGAACTGACTGAGTGCCGGTAGCCATCTTGGAAATGCGAGCGCAACTGTTGCTATCTGGCGAGCACCGGCCGCAATTTCAGACTTTGGCGCAGCAAGATGGCGGATTCAAATGCAACGATGCAGCTGAGACTGCACCCAGTTCTCACTGAATCAACATGATAAATAAACAAAAGCTGCGAAACATGACTATGAATATGAATGTATTGTGGTCGTCTAGACAGTTCAGAACCAGATTACAGAGATTACAAGGATACAAGTTGTACGATTACAGATTGTAAATTAATAAACATCTAATGATCCGATATTATTTCGTCGGTAATCTCACAAATCAGCAGAGATAAAATTAATTTCTTTATTTGTTAGTCGAGCTATTGTCAGCTACCTCTCTCTCTCTCTCTCTCTCTCTTTCTCTCTCTCTCTCACTTTCCTCTTACAACAAAAGAAGACAAGAAGACTCTTTTTTAACAACATTTATTTCTAATACGTCCTATTGTCTATATACAATTACACAACGGTTGAACTATGCAACGCAAACACAACGAACTCCTACAGACTGCGTGCGCGTTTTGTTAACAATGATAAGGTCCTCAGACCGGCGGTCGGCGTATAATCTCGCGAGTGTCGTTCCCGTCTTTTATATAAATGATTTGTGTCTTTGTTATTTTACGGAAGCGTAGAAATCTTATCTCGGATGTAGATATATACGTATAAGTGTATTATAGTCCTATATATGACACATACACACCAACACATGTGTACGCATATCGTTCACAGCGAAGCAATACCGTCGTACACGGAAGAACTGCATGTTTCCATTTATCAGCCATGCATTATCGCCTGCTTGAAGGACTTACAACAGCAACAACAGTATATACGTCGGCAGACCGAATTCATGCACAGTCTGAACTTTAGCGCCTTTCCCCACTTCAAGGTGACTTCAAAGTTTCTGCGAGAGGGGAAACCTAATACTTCCCGCCTGTGTCTTTATCCGGTCTTTTCAGTCCGCTGCCTTCGATATATAATTGATGTCACAGGATACGTTTATCACGTGATGGCAAGTATATTCCAACGTACTTTTCGAGGAAAGAAAAACTATGAGATTGTCGTTAGAAATGGATTAGACATCTCTCTTGGACTCGAAGAGACAACGAAGAACGTCGTATACGTGGAGTACAATGAAAACATGCAAATTATAATGGTACAAATTGTCATCTGTGATGAGAATTCGAAAGAAAAACGATGAGACAAACGAAGCAAGTGTCAGAGGCATTTCCGACGTCTGTCTGTTTCAGGTGTTTCGTCCAGCTGCGTATCGCCGTCTAGAGTACAGGTGTTCTTCCTCCTCTTTTTGTTTTCTTTTTTGTCGTCATCGACGTTTCTCAAATTGTTACTTTTGTTTTTCGAGAACCTCAACAGAATTATTGTCGTTCTTCCTAAATTAAGCGTGTCACACAAACGCATACACGATACGCGTCGACGCATTTAATTTTAAATCGGATTATTCCCTACGAAGCGTCTCTTTCTAGCGCGCAAAGGATATGTCTAGTTGATCCGGAGGAAGCAACGCGTGTGTCCGACAGTGTTGGTCAAGACATGTATTCGCGCGTGCGCGAATAACAGACGAACAATTCCAAATATGCATTTGTGAGCGTGTCAGTGTATATTTTACGTACATATCAATCGATATATTCAGATACGACAAACTTCACGACAAACATATCGGTATGTGCTTTGTGTGTATTTTATTTATGTAATTTTCTTTTTTTGGTTTTTGACATATTTAAGATGATCGTTTGTGCCAAAACGCGTATTCAAAATCCTCATTTATTATTCGCGAACGCATCTTGTCCTGATACCAATGTACGGCAAATACTTATTGCATCCTTTCTGTCCTTCTCTTGTCCTGTAAGCAACATTTTTTACATCGTGTTGACAATAGATTATATCGAAACAATCGATCATTGTTTATAACACACTGCTCAAATTGGCCAAAATCATTTCCTTTCTCTCTAGACTTCGCGAGGGAAACGCAAATTACTAAAAGTCTACGTTAAATAATTATTATTGCTCAATCGATACGAAGCTGTCGCGAAGAATCGTCGTTCGGTTTGCCTGACTTTGTCACGGATGTATTATACAGTCGCTGTATTTACATGAAAATCTACGAGATCCCTGTTTAAAAAGTCCGATAGAGAGAGCATTAAATAAAAAGCTATTGACTTTTTTATTGATATGACCAAATCGATATATTTCAAGTTTCATCGTATACGTGAGTTGTTTTTATTTGATACATTTGATATTAAGTTTTTCGTGTTTTCTATTCCATTTTCTATCGCACTAATAGATACATATTAATACATACGGGCCATTTATCGAGAAAAAATGATGGAAAACAAAAATTTCATTTATATTTCAAATTGATTTTATATTTGTCGCATGCATAAGATGTAACGATAATGCAAGCGGAAATGGAAAATCATGCAAATATAAATTAAAATTGTAGAATTCGCTGTTTATGAGAATGACGAGTAATTTTTTGATAAAATTGATTTAGAAAATAATTGGAAGTTAATGATACTTCTGTCTCTCCTGAAATTTAAATGAGCTTTAATAAATATGCGTCACGCGTTGCCACATTCTGTCGGTAAGTCAAATTTAGCTGAAATGAGATGCGAAAAATAAAGCCTCGCGATCTCCTCCTACTTGCACCTTCCCTTCCTCTTCGGGAAACTCCTATCGAACTCTTTAAACGGGGAGGCTATGATAGAATCGCCTTTTTTCCGATCACCCGACTTGGCGTTTTATAAAAATAGTGTCGGAGCTGTGCGGGAAGCGAGACGAATCGGAGATAATCGAACCGATCTTCAATCACCGCGGCTCGGTTTCACGGGAGTTCCCCATCGATTTTCTTTGATTCATTCGTTCCGCGCGAGAAGGTGGATTATTTACAGCGGCAAAGGGGAACCCGAAGAACGCGCGCGGAAGATCTTTTCCTCACGCTGGCTCGTCGGGCTCCCTTTTGCGCACCGAAGATTCTCGCACGATTCATTTTTTAATTACTTTACATAGAGACATCGACCTCTAGAGGCGCCTATTACGATCTACCCACCTGTCCTTAGGCGATTTATTTATAACTTTGCACTAACCATGTCCGTACCTGTCCGTACGCGTTTCGATATTATCGATTCACACGGCCAACGGACATTTAATGGAAGCTAACGAGCTCTGTCTTCATTAAAATATGTCATCAACGTCGGAATAATTACGGTCCCAATATCCGCCCTGATATAGCCAGTCTTCCTGGCCCGTGTATGGATTCGTGCCGGACTGGAACCATCTGCAAATTATTTGTTTTCCCTTCTTGTTGAAACATATCAAACGTAGATTTTCCGATGAAGTGGAAATTATTAATTAGAAGCCATTAGAATTCGTCTAAATAATTATCTCGAGTCGTAGAAACATAGAAACTTATTGGAAGCGATCAAAGGAATTGTTGGAAATTTTATATTCGGTTCTGCGAATCTTCCAAATTTTCAGGTATTCTTTAAATAAATCGCGAATATATTTCTTCGATAAAAGCATAGGAAAAAAAAGGAAATACAAAGCTTTACCTGGGAGCATACTCGTGTCCTTTCTTATGTTTGCGAGCCTTGCGGGTGTCCCTCTGTTTCTCCTCGAGTCTGATTTTCTCAGCTGCAGCTCCATCCTGATCACCCATCTCCAACTTTCGAATATCCGGCCTCAGTCTGGAGTCAGTCGGGCATAAAGTCTTCTCCATGTCAGGATCCAGTTCGTTTAGCGACATCGCAAACGTTGTGAATTGAAAGTACTACGAAACAGAGAAAGTTATGTTAATCGCGGTGAATTAATTGATTGCAAAAATGTACGGCATATTCGTTCGCAAAAAGACTAACGTCCGAACTGTTGCTGGGCCTCGGTGTGGCTTCCCACAGTGTGGTGGATCCTGGAATCTCGTCCACGACGGGCGTCTCATCACCGTCCATACTTGCCGAGGACTCGTCTATCGTGTCCTGAAATTAAGGAGGAAATTTGTCACATTAAGTATACCATTTTTTAGATGATCCTAAAAATAAGAACAAAGTAAAAGTGTTTGAAGTGTAGATAACAAAAGAAAAGAAAGAAATGAAGAAATAGCGTAGAGGGAAATTTTGTTGTGACTAAATTTGATTATTAACCAATTGAACGAATAATTAATTTGCGAAATAACAATCGCTTAGTACCTGATGCAAGGGCTTGAAAGCTCCGACCTTGAGACTGTGGAGCTTCGCTAGGACTTTCTTGTGGCCCGGGCTGCCTTGCGGACTTTTGGCCTCCCTCTTGATTTTCTCCAGCGCTTCCTCGTAGAACAAGGGCTCGCAGGATCGTAGTCTTTCGGTCCACTTGCCGTAGAGGAAAAGTAGCTTCCTTTTTCTGGAAAGAGTAGGAAAAGAATGACGTAAATGTTTCCTAATTAATCTCTCGGCTTGCAGTTATCGAAGACAAGATGATCCAAGGCAGACGACAGGCTGATTTTAATTGGTTTAAACACGAACTAGTTAAATCTATAAATGTCGAGGAACGAGGAAGTGATTTATTTTCGTAGAAGTTATTCTATACCATTAACGAGTATCCGAAATTAAAAGACGTCTGCCGAGCTCGTGCTGGAGTGCAAATAAATTCCTTAATTCGATTCATTAAGAGAAATTGTTAAAACGTACTCCTGATCCGTTATGAAGCCCTCGACGCGATGAAGATCCTTGCCGTTCCACGTGCCGCTTTTAAACGCCAGCGTAGCTTTCAGATTGTCTCCTCCGAACTGTCTGATATCCAAGGCACCCAATTGTTCCATCCATAATTGGCCCACTAGCACGTTGTGCAGGATACAATTGACATTTTGCCAGGTGTAAGCCTCTTTCCACCTGTTCAAGTATAGCTATTAATATCGAAATCCTTTTAAGAAAATTTCCGACTCTTTAATAAATTATCTAGTTACATTATTTAATTCTGTTAATTTTGTCTTTTAAATATTGATTGGCTGAGAAAACGACAACACGACGATTGAAAATTAATAACGATGTCCTATTGAAATATTTGGGCCACTTATTCATTTGTAGCGTTGAATAATAATTGAAATTAATAATGGCGATTACACCATTGAAACTACTATGCAAATAATGGTTTGGAATTAAAATGATTAATAAAAGTAATTAAATGAACATACTTGGGTAACTCTACCGTGACAACCCCCTTGGGGTGCACTTCTATCGATTTTCCCCAGAATTTCAATTTAGGGTGGATGCTGCCATGAAAAATGAAATCTTCATTGTCGGCGTAAAATGCGGAAACTGGAGGATGATGCGATACTTGCTCGCATATTATTCTGGAAAGGATCGAAAGGAATTATTTAGCAGATTAGAAATCTAGCTTTTCAAAATGAAGATTCAAATTTTCTATGCAAATTGTTCACATCTACTTGACGTTTTCTTTCAACTTAGAATTCAGTAACTTTTCAGGATACTTTCTTCTTGATGAAAAAAGTCGAAGAGTCAATAATTTATAAGCCATAAATAATCAGAAGCAAGAATTCACAAATTGCAAGAAGACAATATTGTCAAATTTTCAATAAGGAGAAATTTATTGAGAATTGGTAGAAAGATACTCAATTGAAAAAGTACGATTGGCTCGAAACATCTTATAAAGAAATTTAAATACTTATGAAAGCTAAAAGAAAAAGGAATATTGTTTTAAATTTATTCGTTGTAACGAAAAGATTTTTTATCCTCAAGAGATGTACACGAATTTGTTTCATGAGACGGTTAATTACCGAAAGTCCTCGCGTTGCAGCTCGTATGTCTCTCCTAAAATTGGATTGAAGGGTTTTCCGAGACGTTCCCAGTTCGAGGCGAGAGCACTCACAGCAAAAGCCGCAACGTACTGCAGGATTGTTAATTTTAGTTTTTAACACGTCCGAATATCGATTCGTCTAACAATACACCCGACGTTGGTATATCCTTATTATTCGACGCTCTCCCGGTTAAGTTCACGAGAACGATTTTTCGTACCTGAAGCCTCGAGACCGGCGACTCCTCTTGCGACGCCAGCTTCAGCAATTTAGCATATTCCATGTATTCTGCAACGCGTTGCAGGAAGGAGAGCGGCTCATTGAAGATGACTGGCATGGTGATCTTGCTGAGATCCTTGCCCAGCGACAGCACTGAGCAGAGATTTACTTCGGAGTGGCCCGGAACTGGTAACGATGTTCTTGAAAGGTAAAAAAAGAAACGTATGTTTTGCGCAAAGATACTTCGATAATTTTTACGTTCATTATTTCATATTATATCTTTGTATAGACAAAAGTAGGAATAATAAAAAAGACCAAATACTTATATCGTTACTGTACTATTATCTTAGGGGTGCCCCTTTATGGTATTGTCGAGTTCAAGGATACGTTTCGAGGCACATTTTGAGAAAAAAGAAATAGCTAACTGGACAGGAACACTGCAAACCTGTGCTGTCCCGATATCCTTTCGCTGGCCATTGTTCGGATCTCTCGTGGTTATCGAGCGTCCTGACGATCGCAGGAGCTTTCAATCTGTCGCTCTGATGAATCGATACTTTGATTTCCACTGACATCCGGCGTTTACGAAGCTCGACGATTTATTAAACGATGCTCAGGAACTCATGGCAAATTATTTGGCCGCATTGTAACCGCTGGAAGACTTCTGTACTTTATACAGAAAGTGAAAGAGACAAAAATGAGACACTCCGATATCCTGGATATTCAAGGATCGGCGCAGTGAGGAATTCTAGATCGTCGGATATTTACAGTTTCCAATAGTGTAGTTAAAAAGTCAAAGCTTCGTGCAAAATTTATCCGTTAGGCTTTATTTATTATGTATATTATTTTCCAAAGATTATATATCAATATTCTTTACGTTACTCTCTCTCTCTCTCTCTCTCTCTCTCTCTCTCTCTCTCTCTCTCTCTCTCTCTCTCTCTCTCTCTCTCTCTCTCTCTCTCTCTCTCTCTCTCTTTTTAGAAAACTCGGCTCATGTTCGAACTGTTACTCGCCCACCAAGCAAGTTGGAATCTTTAGAAACTACAGAGTGTCCTCGGATCCTCAGAAAGTGGCAGGTCCTCGGATGCTTTGTACATTCGTACAAGATCGTCGCAGGTACGTAAGCTCGGACGTGTTCGTGATTCGTCTACTTCGTCTCAAAGTCCTCGAGTCCTTATCATAAGGCTCATCGAACCTCTCCGAAGCGGACGACGAATCCTCGGATAGATCCTCCAACTGAGCTCTCTCGATTTCCGCGGAAAGACAGAATGCAAGACGAGGGAAAGGAGGCAGAGGTGCGCAGTATCTAAATGGACCGTCCGTGGTGGTGGTGTTCGTTCTCTCTCCAGAGGTTTCTTCCGTTACCTCGGCGACATCCCGGCGGATCGGTGCCCGATATCTCGCTGTATATTCTCACCGCGAGACGCGATCACTCGCGGAGGATCCACCAACGATCAGCCCGACCACCACCAGCCGTCGTCACTCGCTCATGATAGGAAGTCGAAAGCCCGGAAGCCCGTCTCTCCTCATCGACCTCGCGACGTCTTCTTGCGAGTCTGTGCTCTCGCGATCAGCTGTACACCCCGACAAGACTGTTGAGCTCACGGGCGTGACGGCGAGAGCTCCCCCTTTGCTCTCGAGCTTTCGCCTGAAATATCAATAAATCCGAGCATGAGCGTTGAGCTTCCGCGCGAGCGACGCTTTCCCGCTGGAACGACCTCCGCGATTCGTCCTCCGGTTCCGAGGAGCCGCCGTGTTTCAAGTTTGCAGTTTCAGCTTACGGTTTCAGGACAGATTTCGATTTTTCTCGACGGTACTCTGGTAGAGTTTAGGTTTAATCGAATCTCTTGCTTCTCTGCAAAGTGAGATCCATGGCAAATTAATCGACACCAAGGATTTCCAGCATAATTTGCTATAAATTAAATAAAGGTCTAATGTAAGAAGAAAGAACTTGAGAACTTGGAACTTTTAAAATAAATGAGAGGTGACTTATCATTTTCTTAAAAGCCAAGAAACCTTGATTTTACTTGAAGTTTCCAATCTAATTCCGCTCTTTCCCAACATGCATTCGCAGCAGATCAATTTACAGCCAGAAACTTTCGAGTTTTCATTTTCGAGTTTTCACCTTCAGATAAGAGTAAAGAAAATTATTTGCAGAATTATGTCTGAGATTATTTTCTGAGCCGTCCTCGATTTTAAGCCGTGCGATTAGTACGTCAGCTGAAAAAGTACGGGACAATTGCTTCATCACGATTTAACGTGCGTTCGTTATATGCGCTAGGATCAATAAGTACAAGAGAAGGAGAACGGAAGAGCAAAGTTTCAACAATGTGAACAACGAGAACTACCCACGACGGAAAAAGACGTTATCACGCAACGCGCCATGCTCTGCGAAAATGCGGAGAGAATTTAATTAACGCACACCCCATACGTACCGCTATCGAGACCACAATGCTGCCTTCATCGCGTGCGGTTCTCCGATAAAATTGGCGCAAGGCACGAAGGGCATTCACTGGAGGGCCATTGAGAGTGTAAAGATCTTAACTGATAAACGATGTACGTTTTCCACCGAACCGTACATTCCGGAATTCCGATATGGGAGAACGCGTCCCTGTATTTTCCAATCTTTGTCGCGTGAACTCCAACATCGCTGAATCGTAGTTTTCGACTCGAGGATCCTCGGTTCCCCTTTCAACCCTTTTCAAATACGCTCTTCTTCTCTTTGCAATTCGTCACATTTTATCTTGATCTTTTGGATTTCATGTCTCCGATATCAAAAGTTGAAAAAAAAAGATCTGTGGGTGTTTGAAAGTCCAGCGATGGATCGGACTTCTGCCACAATTCTTCCGAATGAATCGATCCGAACATAAAAATTCCTTTGGATTCCTCTGGAATCATTGAAATCTTGTTTCTTTTTTTTTGTATTTTATAGAACGTCATTCAAAACAAGTTCTTTAGATTCAGGAATCTTGGACTCTCGACGCTCGAGCGTTACTATTTGCCAGAACGGCAGTCGATATCGAGCGAATCAGCGCTCAATCTTGAAGTGGCGCGCAGCCCGGAATTTTACGAGCCCGCTCGTCCTTATTGCCTGCGTCAGGAGTTCAGTGCACCGCGGGCGCATCGCGACTCGGAATAAGAATGAGCCGAATCTCTCTATTGATTCACCTGGAAACCAAATCGATATCCGTGCGAGGTACAGGCGCTCACTTCGTTACGGATCGGCCAACTTTCCTTCAATCGAGTCGAGTTCGTCGTCCGTTTAAGCAAACTCTCTGCCAAATCCCGCTCCGGAACGCGCTCCGGAAACGAATTTTTCCACGACCCAAGAGAAATTTTTCGATTTTATCAAGAGCCGCAATTTCGCGAGAACTCCTCCGCGACTTGAGAGAATATTCCGATTTCGCAAGAATTGCATCTGTTAAATCAGTCAAACTTAACTTTGTGTCGAATCGAGCACTTTCTCTCGGTCTCTCGGTCGCTCGGAAAGCGCGTGAAAACATTTCTCATCGTTGTGGGAGAATGCGAGAGATCGATATTTTCTATCAACTTCGCAAAGTAGCGAAGGCTTTCCATCGTCGAGCTTAAAAATGAATAACAAAGTCAATCTTTTTACGGAGAATTACGGAAAGGATTTGGAGGTGCTCGGAGATCCTTGGGAGTCGAAGGATGCGGAGAAAAAGCCTGTAGTCCGCAAGTATCGTACGAAGCATATGAAGCAGTTTCCGGAATTGTACCGAAGCGACGTCTCGATTCATCCCAGCTACACCGGTCTGAAAAAATTGCCTTAGTAAGAACTAGTTCATCAATTATAAAACGCTCGCACGATTTTGTGTGCACGATTTTAATTCAAAAATATGTGCACAGAATGTTTCATCGAATCCAAATCACTTTGAAACATTTACAACGGATTTACCAGATGTTACGTACTTACATATACAAATACAAAAGAGAACGTCGATTTTATTTTAAGTTAAAGACACACTTTGAAGAGTCGTGTGAACATTAAAAAAGAAGCACCGTGAAAAACATGCTTGAATCAATGTGTGTCCACGTATGGTCCACATAGTTAATTTCGTGGATATCTCGTGATTTTTCAAGCCACGTGGTTTGCCGGCATCGTGTGCAAAGGATCAGACGACAGATCTTCCGCCAGCTAAACCGCGAGATTGATCACTTCGCGATGATTCAGATGTTCGCCCTCGACGGCGTGAGGATCGATCGCGTCTTCAGCGTCGGTATGTCGCCGAGATCGATGATCATGCCCGATCCACTGACGGAGAAAGAGAGACGACGACTGAATGACCTCCTTCGAGAAACCTGAGATATCTTTTCTGCGCAATTTTATATTCTTTTAGATAAACTGTCTCATTGATTTGTACGCATCCTGCTCTCTCAAGTCTTGCTTCTTCTAGGTCTAAAAACTGCGATAATACTGTTGTATAATTACCTACTTTATTATTAATAAATTCGCCTGTGATTATTATACACATTGTTATTACATATTGATTGAATTTGAATTTCGGATCAATTCTACTCGTATGAATAATAACAGGAATAAAAACGATTTAGGAAGAATAATAAAATAAAACAAAAGAAAAAGTAAAACAAAATAATAAAGGGAATAAATTGCAAAAATATTTCTATACAAGCAGGATACTTTTATCTCTCAATGTTAGTTAGACGAATGCGGGAACAAAAGAATTCATCGCGTATCAAATACACAATAGCGGCTTGACGTTTCGACTGATGAAGACAATCTTGTTCAGCGTTTGCAATCAAGTCGCGGAAATTGCGGATTGTAACGTTTTAAAGAATCTTTACGATGTTTCGAAATGCCTATCAGAGCGGATTCTTGTCTATCTTCTACAGTTGCGGGTCATCTCCTCTGGAATTATGGGACATGCACGTCAGTTCTTACCTTATCCGTCTATAAATAAAATAACGAACATGCATCGTAGTGATAAAATGTCAGAAGATATGTGTTTCGCAAAATAAATAGCTGCAATAATTTAATTTATTATTATGATCACTGCATGATCCATTCAGGTGAAAAATGGATATATACGAAGGATCATGGACGAAGAAATAAGGTCGTTGGCATTGGAGATAGCCGGCACCAACGTGGCAACTACTTACATTTTCTGTCCAGCAGACCCGAAGAAGGTGCTCGCTATTAGGTTGCCCTTCCTTATCATCATTATCAAGAATATGAAGAAATATTTCACGTTCGAGATAACGGTAAAGCCTATATGAACACGTAATTAATAAATAAGGCTTCCTACTTTGGTCTTTCCTAAACAAAGTTCCTCGTCTGTCTCTTCTTCTTAATAAAGCTTCTTATCTCTTCTTTAAATAAAGATCTTTCTTTAAAGAAATAAGGCTGCCTAGTCCTTCTTATGTAATGCTTCCTTATATATGTAAAGTGGTTTCCCATTTTCTTCTCTTATACAGCACCTTTTCCTTCCGTGCGATATTATACCACATATTTATACTTATAAAAACGAGGCTTCTTCTTTTATTGTATCTTAAACTTTCTATTTCTTTCTTTTCTTCCTACTTCTTCCGCTTTAAATAAAGCTTATATACACATTGTTTATTTTGCTCTTTTCTATTATATTTCACAGCTCTTGATGAATACGATTTTATAAAACAAAACTTGAACGCGATTCGTTAAACAGATATTGGACGACAAAAATATGCACAGGAGATTCCGCGTGAGTAATTTTCAGAGCACCACACGTGTCCGTCCGTTTTGCACGTCAATGCCCATTGGGCTTTCGGGCGGATGGAATCAGATTCAGTTCAACCTGTGTGACTTCACGCGAAGAGCCTACGGCACGAATTACGTCGAGACCACCAGGATGCAAGTCCACGCGAATTGCAGGATCAGACGAATTTATTTCGCCGACAGGCAGGAATTCAATGCGCGTTACCGATTAAATAACGGACGAATTCGGAATTGTGTAAAATACATACAATATCAACTGCTACTTCCGTGAACTTTACTTTATTTCAATTGATTTTTCATTGAAGACTGAGTAGCGTGGATCCCACCGAGTTCTTCCGCTAAACTTATTTGTTTTCCGACAGATTTATTCGTCGTATACTTTATGATTAAGAAATGTTCGGACATTAGGACGAATTGATGTTGCAAGACACAAACGTTTCCCAGGCTTTATTCGGAAGACGAGATGCCGGAAGAATTCAGACTCTTTTTCCCGGTGCACCGGAAGAAATGCGTGAGGGAGGTGTTGAAAAAACCAGCCGTAGAACTTGAAAAGCCACCGTTCGTTATTGAGAAAACACCGAGCATTGAGCCGGAAATACCGGAAGAGAAACCGATTGAAGAGCCCGAAATTTCGAAAGAGGAAGTGGAACCAGACCTGAGAGCTGAAGAGATAATCGATTTGGAAGATGAGGAGGAAGAAAGATTCGAAGAGGAAGAGAAGGTAGAAGCCGAAGAAGAGGCTGCGGTTCATGACGAAGAAGCGGAAGCTGAAGAAGAGGCGGCAGTTGTTGACGAAGAGACAGAAGCTGAAGAAGAGGCGGTAGTTGTTGACGAAGAAGCGGAAGTTGAAACCGGAGTCCTCGATGAGGAGGAGAAAGCTGAATTGGCATATGAAGATGAGGTTGAAGAGGAAGATGCCGAAAACGAGGCGGATGAATGAACGGTATATGATTTTCGATGGGATGATTTGGTACTGATTATATTAATAGAAAGAAAAAGGATAATCTTACTCACAAAAACGTATGTCAAAAGCGTGCATAATAATTGACATAAAGTTTTGTTTTCGAGACTCGAAAATTCGACATGTGAAAAAATTCTCGCTCCCCGCTTTCGTGTTGCTTTTTAATGCAGGATCATCATCTTCAAACTTATAATACTGTTAATGAATCCTGTATGTATAAGAGTAAAGACTAATTATATTTGAGAAGATAATTTATATGTAACTGATACGTCGAAGTAAATATCTCGATGAGAGCTAAATATCTGCTCTAATCTTCATTTTTTATCGTAATTTCAATCGTAATTTATTGTATATACATTTTGCTCTTTATTTTGTTTAAACAAAGAACAGAACCTTATTATTGCACACAAACTTACATATCTTGATGGTTAAACTGACGGAAAGTGAAAACATTCAATGGAAAACTGTTCAAAATTGAAGTTATGACACGTCATAATCTTCGTCCTCGCGTTTCCTTTTCATTGAAGAATCTTCTGTTTCCATCTTCACAGGTGCCAATGTCTGTCCAGAAGAGATCTGTATTTTTGGTTTTGTCACCTGAGCTTTCACTGCTGTAGTAGTTGTTGTCGCTATGAAAAATATCCAGATATATTTTAAAATTTAAATAATTTTAATTTAATTCACATTTATATAATTCTGTATATATTTATTTTCTGTATTTTAAATTAATATTAAATTCAAACATACTTGAATGAAATTAAATTTAATCTTAGATATATGTACAATATTGAGTTTCTCTCTTTTTTACCTTAAATATTTTCTAATTATGTGATTTACATTAGATTTCAATATAATACTTTGTATAATCATATAATTAATCGTATAATTAATTTTAGGATTTAATTTAATTTTATATTAGAATCTTACTTAATGAAGGCCTGAAGGACACACGAAGTGGGATGGAAGGATGGGAATGCAATAGACAAAAAGGCACTAAGAGGAAACAGATTAATTGTACTTCAATAAGAAAACATAGTAACCAAATAAACAAGTAGTTCATTACCTGTGGAAAATTTCAAGACTGGTTTTGGTATGGATATACTTTGAGTTCTAGCAACAGTAGCAAGGGTGCCAGGTCTCTTAACAATCGACAAACCAGCCTTATTTCCTTCTACTTTTGTTCTTGATTGTCCACTTGATGGATTATTTCCTGTTAAAGGATGTGCAGGTTTCTGGCCAACTTTCTTCATGGCATTTTTTAGCCTATAATTAGTTGAGTTTAAGCAATATCTATCAGGAGGAAGTCTAAGACCATTGTTAGGCTTTACAAAGGGCAAGGGGATGCTGTTTTTAGCACGAGCAACTTCTAGTAGTACATCTCTCGGTGGCGGATTAGTGAATGTTCGTTCCAGCTGCATTTTCACTGCTAATCTGACATCATCTAGATCAATGAACTTTTTCTTTGCATGATTGGCATATACCCTACTGTCATCTAATATGCATGTGACATATCCTGCAAAACATTAAGATTTGAAATTATATATAAAGCAGCTTCAGCAACGATAGATTGAACAAGTAGAAAGAGAAGAAGAAAAGGGAGGAAAACGAATAAGGGCCGGTTGTTTCAATTTTTTGATAAGTTAACTGATAGTTAAATCATGTTTATCTTCATTTTCTCTTCAATTTAAACGAAGACGGACATACGATTTAACTATCAGTTAACTTACCAAGAAGTTGGGACAACTTGCCCTAAGAAACTTACGATAGGTAAACTCCAACAACTGATTAATAACTTTGGGCTCGTAATCCGTTATTCCCATATCTTTCATGATTGACATGATGACTTGAGCGTCCTTAGGGATATGTTTTATATGGCTCATGGTTTTCGTTTTTTCTGCCATGTTAAAAAAAACAAAATAACTTTCTGTTGCGAATATTTATCACATATAACACAAATATAATATCTTCTAGATTATATTTACGGCTCTAATCTGCAACGGTTGTTTGCATCTTGCGCTCTGAACAGCCGCTGGTGCCGCCGCTAGTCTGTTCTTTTTCGAGGTGGTGCACATTAAGCCCGTATCAGACTACGGATTAGGCTAATATTACATGTGTCGTACGACAAGCTTTTCGGATACATTGATTGGCTTACGCGGAGCAATCCTAGAAATATTCTGTTTGTTAACCAATCAACGTATTCGAAAAGATTGTCGTACGACAAATGTAATATTAGCCTTAGGATTGAATATTGGATTGAATTTAACCAATCAGGGCTAAGTTTACTATATTTGAGATTATTTTCTTTTTTCCAAATTTTGGTCAAATTCAATCCAATCTCAATCCCAATCATGGTCTGATACGGGCTTTAGTGCATCACTGTGCAACAGTCAGGAAATTCTTCAAAAAAGGACAAACTATATAGAGTTTTGTATAAGAAATTTTCCAGGGATACTCCAGGATATTCCAGCCACGATATTTCTAAGGGTATTTATAGGCCAGTATTCATAGTCGGATCTTATATTTAAGATTGCTTAAGTTTATCTACATAAGATACTATATAAATTACTTCATTGGCTACGGAGTATCTGAAAGTGAACTTAAGACGATCTTACGTAATTATCAAATATTAAATCCCTCTACTGGTAAGGAAGACACATATTAAAGTAAGCGGTAACGCCTCATATGCACGTGATTCATTCGTCTGCTGAGAAAATGTAAAATGGCGGACATGTAATTGTCAGTTGTCAAAAACAGCGGTAATAATGGCGAAAAGAGTCACAACAGTATTGATAGATCTTAGTGGCACACTGCATATCGATAACACAGTTATCCCTGGCGCTGTGCAGGCGTTAAACAGGTATATAAACTGTTTATTGTTTATTTGCTCGACTTTTAATTACAAAACACAGCAATACACCACGAGTGGTACAGCGCAATCTCTGTAAAAATGGCGCGATATATCTTTAACTTAAAGTAGAAATTTTTTAATTTATTTTATTTGTACGATTTCGCTTGATAAGATTGTTTCAAATGTAGAACATAAACAAGTAATAAAAAATCTATTATTTAACGACGATTTCCTGATTATATACATAACCTGGAGGGAATCTTACATTTAACGAAAATATTTACAAATATCGTCTCTAAATAACAAATGGTTAAGAATAAAAATCTGTATCTAATATGTTTTGAAGGTAAATTTCTTTCCGCCAGCATCTTAAATTTAAATCTTTGCTATCTAGGCTGCGAAATGCAGATTTGTCGATTAAGTTTGTTACTAACACTACCAAAGAATCAAGTAATTGTTTATACGAGCGTTTGACAAATCTTGGCTTCGACTTGCGGAAGGAAGAAATCTTCAGTTCTTTGGCTGCAGCGAGAAAATTGATTATCTCTCGGCAACTGAATCCGATGCTCTTGATTGATCCAGCGGCGATGGAAGATTTTCAAGATTTGGTCAAAGATGAGACCACGCTTAATGCAGTGGTGGTTGGTTTGGCACCGAGCAAATTCAATTACGACGAATTGAACAAAGCATTTAGGTTGTTTCGCATTTCTTTATTTTGTACTACTTACGTAAAATACGTAAAACATTATGTACAATGTGCGGGTGTAATTTTAGATTACTGTTGGATGGCGCATCGCTCATAGCTATTCACGAAGGACGATATTATAAACGTCCTGACGGTCTAGCTTTGGGTCCTGGCGCGTTTATCAAAGGTTTAGAATATTCTAGCAACATAAAGCCGGAGGTGGTTGGTAAACCGACTATAGAGTTTTTTAAGGCAGCTTTAGGGGAGGTAGATCCAGAACAGGCTGTAATGATCGGAGACGTAATATTCCAAATGATTTTTCTTTTTGTTTGATATAATACATATAATTACAATTTTACGATTACAAATATGAACTTGTTGTTAATTAGGATGTGAGAGATGATGTAGCCGGTGCGCAGGCAGCCGGTATCAGAGGTATTTTGGTACAAACTGGCAAGTACAGAGCAGGGGATGAGAATACGATTACTCCAGGGCCAGCGAAAGTATGCGTCTCTTTCGTACAAGCTGTCGAGAGTATTCTCGATGGATAGCATTTAAAGATTTGTGGTTGGTGAAATCAATAATAGCCGAAATTTTTTGTTCACATATCATCGCTACATATGGGCAATGCAATCTCTTTTGTATTCTGTATTAAATTATATATTTTATTTAAATACTGATTACTTCTTTTTTATAGTGTACATAGTTTGGAGTGATGCCATATTATTGTAAAGTAGACGATAAATACAAATGGAAATCAATCCTCTTTCTGATATGGATTTTCGTATTATCGTTCTGCAATCCTATTAATATAAATCCCGATTAATCTCGAAGCGATACGACAATATATTACAAAGATAATCAGATAAACACACGAAATCGAGGATGACAGAAATATCGTCTCTCATTGTACACTCTTGTAGAAAATTGTAGAAAATCTGACATGTTTAGACTGACACTGGAAAGTGTGTGATAACTCACATTAGGACAGTATTTGTAAAACGTATTTTACAAATTCGTATGATATACATACATTCGATACTTTTGCAGAGACGAGACGATATTAGTCTAATTTTTATCTCGTTCTAAAAAAATTATAAATTTCATAACTTTCTCGCTACTATGTAGCCTTATATCATAAATAGTACCACTGTAGAACCTGCGCTTAATAATAAAGCAGGTTTACAGAAACAAAATGCTCTCTTTCTCTGTCGAACTATTGGTGCGCTACGGAATATTACTTTTAGTATAAAATTTGGCACCATTATACAACTGCTTTCTTTTTTATACAGGTCATAAATACCAACATTGTTATCCTCAATACTCAATATAACGTTAAAGCGAGATGAAGTTGATTTTGATTTTTCACACTATTAACGTTCTAATATATTAATATTTCAGTTTCTTCGTGCACAAGCGGTGTTTTAAATGATGAGACTAAATGCATCATCGTATGCTCATCATATATGCTGCCCGCTACAGAATAAATGACGATAGTGGTAACTTCTTGACGCACTTTATAATTTCTATAATGTCATTCATATATGATATGAACAAAATAGTAATGTGTATTTGGATCGCGTATTTTGTAATTATGGACTGTTTTAAATATCAATACAAGTCATAATTGAAATGCCCTTTGTAACTTATGATCTATGATCAGGCACATCACGATTACTCTCTTGATTTATGATAACGAATGTCTAAAGTGAATGACTTGTTCGAAAAAATAAAATCGCAGGATGATCAATCTCGATTTATGCAAGAGATACATTTGCATAGAGAACACTAATATGTACAGCATACTCTGAGAGAACTATACAATGAATCAAATAACTCTCATTAATTATTATTAACCACTATATATACTATCGTACGAGTCATATGTCGTAATAAATAATTTTAAAAATCAAACGCAACTTACAATTCTTATCTTTTTTCGTAACATACCGTATTAAGGTGTTTAAAAGATAACTATATTTTTATGCTACAATCTAATTTACATTTGGTTTGAAATTATATTTTAAGATTCCATAACGATTAAAAAAATATAAATTCACTGCACAATTTCTTTTGAAACAGTGTCCGTAAAGATAACAAATAAGGCAACCTTAACTAGGACGATACATTTTCTTTTTTGCCAGTCGCACCTCCACATATCCTCATTGAGTCAAAAGTAGTATCTCTTTATCGTAGTATCTTAACAATATCTATTCTTGCGAATGGAAAACGAAGCGATAACAAATAAACCCTTACGTATGTAAAGCATTACCAAATCAAGGTTTAACTTAAGCTTGATAACAAGCGATGTATCATACATTGTGTAGCGCTTTAAAATGATAATGGTACACATTTGCACTTGTAAAAATATTTGTTTATACAATTTTAATAACGCAAACCATGTAACTCACAGACCATGTTAATATATATGAGCTAATAACGTAACTTCTTTCTCCCCTGAAGATCTTTAACTGTTTGCAGTAACAGCATATAATAATATTATCGGCTTGTAATCTGAATTGTCTGCACAATAAGAGATTTGTTAAATTTTTATTCATACAACCTACTATTAATGGACATTATTCACAATCGCGTTCATATATACACTTTATATAGGATCTAGAAAATTGAATATGTTAACATAAAAACAACTACATAATTTTTATTCCTTATAAATCTCTTCCAAGATCAAATTCTGTTATTGAATACTGCATGTTCCTCCGTACTCGAAGGCGTCATTTATTTTGTAGTGTGTATAAAAGTATGGTGGTATTCATATATTCATACTTTATTAGTTTCGATCAAGAGACAGAATTTGATCCTATTACATTGCAGACAAATACACTTTTTTTATTATTTCCCAAGTGAACGAGATAGGAAATATTGAACCTCTAATTTGGCTATTCAAATATAATTTGATTAATGATAAATTGACATATTTCTCTTCTCTCTTTCATATATATATTTTCTTCTCTCCGCTTTCTAATGTAACAAGGCAAGTGTGGAGTATATTTTGCATGCATACACGTAACGAAACATTATACATTTCTTTTTTTTTTATACTTTCAATAAATATTCAATACTTTTATTACAATACTAAAACGAAAAAAATCCTACTTACTCGTTACGGAGTATTCAGCTAAAATATAACTGATAAAAAAATCTTAAGAAGCATTCACATGAGGATCACCTGGCATTTAGACCTAACGAAACTAATGATTTTTTCGGCCATGCGGTCTATCCCTCCATTCTTTTCTCCCTTCATCTTTGTGCCGTACATTCTTACTGATAATTCTCACGTGGGAAGACGATAAATGGCTGACAACAAGCGTTTTAAATTCTACATCCAGGTACAAAAAGCATGCTATTCTCAAGCGGATTGAGTCGATCGAGAGTGATGCTCTGTTGTGTGAATTTGGCCGCAGGATGCAGGTGTATAAAAGTGAGCAATTTACGTTTAATACTTCCACACATTATTGCCTTCGAACTTTACGTGCTATTCCTAATACTCCAAATATGCCTCGCTGCTATCCTTCATTCCTGCCTCGACGTCATACGAAACATCCGTGAAATCCAGGTGATCGTTTCCTAAGGAGACAGTGGCACAAGGTACCATATTCTGCAAGTAGCCCATGTATTTTCCACTATTCTGAAAAGGATCGAATATGCAGTTTTCATTACATATGAAGATTACATATGAAGAAGAGAGAGAAAACAGGATATATCTCACCATGGTATAAAACCAGGCACACTGTAAAGACTCATGATGTAATGTAGTTAATCCTAACTATTTAACAGGGCGATAATGAAGTGTCAAATCCGTTGAACTCTTCCAAATAAAGTGCCTGACCTAAAAAACAAACGAATGTGTGTAAAGGGAATCTTTCTTGGATAAAAGGTAATAAAAGCCTCGCTTAATTCTATACGTACCGTTCTCAAATCCATCGAGGGATCCAAGACCTGATCGTTACATAAGAGTTCGACCTTTTCCTCTGCCAACGAAGAATTGTCAGCATTGGAATCCGTATTTGTTCTATCGCCCGCCGGAGATCCACCAGAAACCGTGTTTCCACCACCAGCTACCGAACCTGAATCGCTTCCCGCACCGAGCACCTTATCATAAACATGCTCCGCCACTTTACGCACTTGTATAAAATCATTCGCGATCAAACGATCCCTTCAAAGCAATAAAATGATTATTCGACTACATCATTGCACAGAACCTTGGTCCGAAGACACATGGCGCACAGCAATACGTACTTCTTCAGACTCTTTACACCGGAAGTAGCGTGTGGAAGAAGGTAGAAAGGTATCTTAATAAACTGCGGAAGATTCTTGTCCACGACAATATTCACTACCCATGGCGGTACTGTTTCGTTTAATAGCACACCTTCGGTTTCTCCCATGGCATCCCGGACTAATAGTCGATAAAGAGTCCTGCCTCCCACTTCACTAGAAGAGAAGAAAAATTAAGTGATAATCTGTTTTAGTCATTAAGAACTGTTTGGTAATTTTTCCATACCTGAAGATGACAGGTGTATGACTAGGTACCGAGAAGTATGGATTTCCTCCTCTCGTGTGTATAGGACCATTTCCATCATTACTATTACCTTCGTTCTCATCGTCAACGTGTAACGGCTTCCACCAGTGCTCGAGTAAGGCTTGCAACAGTAGATTCCCATAATTTACTGGGACATGGGAAAAAACATTATTTATTTAGTCTTCATTTTTGTTTCTTTTTAATTTATCAGTATCATCATTGATCTCTTTTTAAGCATCGCGAAGAAAAACAATCATTACCTTTTTGATCTATAGCATCGTTCTCTGCCAGACCGGTCTCCTTCGCAGAAACCCATGCAGAGAAACAGTCGTTCTCGTCTTGTCCTAAGTGTATAGTTAACATCTGTAATGACAAGGAGCAATTAAAATCGACCGAATCCGAGAGAGTGTAAATTTATCGAAAAGATACACACCCCTGTTTTGAGATCGACATTAAACCAGTTTGGAACATATACCATTTTATTTCTCTTTTTACACTCCTGTTCGAAATCAACTCTGCCTAAATCTTCTACTTTACACGCTTTTAATACATCGTACAACGCAACATTTTCCTCCGTGTCTTTCGTCATGACGTGTCTTTTATCATTTAATACGCGATAATGTCTTATGGCAGGGCCACCTAGTATCTTTTGCGTGGGTTCAGTGTTTCTCAATATGTTCACACCGCCCGATACGTTACTAGCGGAGTCGCAATAATCTCCAATTCCCAACTCTTGCCAGTCCTTTTGGTTTATAGACTGAAATATTAAATAAATATATTTCTCTCTCTCTTTCTCTCTCTCTCTTTCTCTCTCTCTCTCTCTTTTGTATGCGTTTTTCTCTGTATAAACTTATCATGAAAACACAAAAAAACTTTATTTTTTTACCCAATTATTAATGGTTGATTCGCTAGTCGCTACCCAAATACTAGATTGATCTGGCGTCATAGCCATCTTCAATATAGGTGCTTTTTCCTCGCAGATAACTGTGTATCTCTCCGCGTAGCCTAATTCTGTCATCACTATCCTTTTATCCCTGCCTCCGGATATTACATGGCTAAAACTATCTGTTGCCTAAACGTTACCTGGTTTTTAGTATAACATCGCACAGTGTTTGTTGCATTAACAATGAATTTGCTTGTATAATTACCAGTAATGCCCATACACCTTCCTTATGAACTCTGTACGTTTGCACACATCTCTGTTGACCTATCGACCATAGTTTAATAGTGCCATCAGAACTGGCCGATAAACATTGAGTGCCGTCCCTGTTCAAGACCAATGCTTTAATATTGTCCGTGTGGCCACGAAGTTTCATGAGTTTGGTACAAAATCGTGGATCCCACACACGAAGAACTTTCTCTGTGCTGCCGCTCACGATAATAGTGCCAGTTTGATTCATGGCAAGACTATATATGGAATCTCTGTTGCCACTCAATGATGAAGCTGAAATATATATATGTATATATCATCTTATACACCAAGAAACAAGGCAAAAAGCTGCTACATATTACAAGTACATACTTGTCACTGTGTTGTTACTTGCAGTAAGAGCAGTCAGCGTATTGACGTCCCAAAGAAATATCGACTTATCTAAACCTGCACTAGCAACCTGCTCCCTATCCTTGGCATATGCTAATGCCTTCACATAGTCCTTATGTGTACGCAGTGTAGACATGCAAAAACCCTTATGCGCATTCCAAACTTTAACAGTAGTGTCCGAACTCGCAGATATAACTGTATAGATTCAATGGTAATTAACATATTAGCAATTATGAGAAGCTTTGAGAGATGAATGAAAATTAATACATCACAGAAAGCTTGCAACTTGGAAATAGATACGTACGATTCTTGCCACCACAACATAACACTATATCGTTGACCCAATCCGTGTGATGTTCCATGGATTGTGTATATGGCTCTTTCATATTTCTGCAATTCCATATCCTTATAATACTGTCTCTACCAGCAGAATATAGCCTATGCAGAGCTGGATCGTACTGCAGGGAATTAACACCAGCTCTGTGCTGCCTCTCCACCTCATCGCGTATAACCATAGACACCTTTGTGGAAAAACAATCAATTGGAGATGTCATACACCAGCGATTTTTTGATATTTCAATTGTTAGTATCAATAGCCACTGCTAACATAAACTAAACACAACAAAATTATAGACAACATTGTAGCGAAATGTCAACAAGAAGAATTCAACCCGACAGAAACATATTCAATTGGTTTCAATAAAACAAGGTGATAAATTTTCGGGAATTTAGACGGCACAACTCCTTAATGCAGAAAATGAACGATTATTCTGTTACACAACGCATTATCGCGTAATTGTCCTCATTGCCTTCGAGACCCTTCGTAACTTTCCCAGACTCAGGAAACGTTCCAGCGCGTTCATCCTTGGCGTCGACGTTGCCCACTGTCGCACAGATTCCTCGGGATTCTCAATCGGGGATGAAGAACTGAAAGTCGAGCGCTACAAAACAGCGTGACATATGTACCTGTACTTTCTTACGGGCACTCTGCCCGCCCGTCTTGTGAGTTGCCATTACGCCCGGGATCGTTTAGTCCGACGGACGGACGATGGTTCAACGGGACGAACGAATTCGCGCTGAAGAGTCGGTTTCACGATTCAAGCAACCGCGACAACAGTTCCACGTTGCGCTCGGTTATCGTGTACTCGTGTCATTATAAAATAGCACCATCAACGTGCGCGCCGATCACTGCCGGAATGCAGCACGCGTGGAACGGCTGTCGCACGGCATCATCATCATCATCATCATCATCATCATCATCATCATCATCGTCGTCGTCGTCGTCGTCGTCGTCGTCGTTGTCGTTGTCGTCGTCGTGATTGTCTTCTTCATCGCATTGCCGAGGCACTGGTGAAACAGCATGCGAGAGAACGGATAGTGGCGCATCACAGGAAGTTGTCCTCTCGACTGCCGGACTTGCTCTCCGGCAACAATCCAACGATCGGGTCGCAACGATCGGCCCATCAAGCGACTCTTTCTTTCGATTGCGGCGCAGCCTCGCTCATACTCATGATGCTCGAGCCTCGAGAGCGTGCACGCTCGCAGTAGCCGCTCGCACCGTTGTTGGCTGCCGTGCCGCCGCCGGTGTCAGTACACTTCAACGTCGTTGCGATCCGTTGCGTATTTTCGCATCAACACATTTCACGAGTGTGTGTATGTACGTATACGTCCAATAACAGGATGTGATCGCGGAACCTGGACCTCGTATGATTGGTCACGTTGCTTTGACATTTGGCCGACGTACACGCCAATCGACGAATCACGCGATAGCATGTCCGTTGCAGAGCTGATACTCCATTCGACGTACGACGAACTGAACGCTTGTATCGGATTGATCGTCGGGACTCCTTTCTGGAGACATTGAAAATCCTCTAGACGACAGCCAACCGGCGCGGCTGGTAGACTTGAGATCGTCGAGCCAAGTACCGGCCTTTACATGATGACATCCGGTACGCCCGACGGAGTAACATTAACGATGCCTTCCTTCATGAGGGTTTCGCCATTTTCTCGGTGTATCCGTTGTTAGAGTAGCGTGCCTTTTGTCGACAGAGTCATAAAATTATCGCTGTTGTGTTGTTGAATGTTAACCACGTGGACCGAGGAGAGTCATTAGTTATTGGTCCATCGTCACTGACGCAGTAACATTCATCATCGCGATAACATGAATCAGTCACGGAATTTCACGTCGTTACTGAATCCGAGTTATCTGCAAAATGCTCAGCAAAACCCGGCAAGTGTGAACGCGGCGGCAGCAGCCTCAGCCGCGGCAGCCGCCGCGGTAAGTGCCGCGATCGCGAACGGCACACAGCCGAATGTAAATACGAACGTGAGCTCCACAACGCCGAATCGTAAACGAGAATCAGAGGGTACGTTATGTCTGAATTTCTCTTTTCCTCTCTTGCCTTGATGTTTTTCGAGCGATGTTTCCTCATGCATGCTCGATGCAAGCGACGAAACTTCTTGCAATTTGATTTAAATTTGCACCATGACAAGTAGCATTATAATGATCAAACAGATTTGTATTATTATAGAATCGTCTTGATATTCCAAATGTAATATAAGTGTTTCTGTGTTGTATTTCAACACTAGAATGTGAAAACTGACCGAGTTATAACCAAGATTAATGCATAATTTAGAGAAAATATTTCTATTGCTTCAATACTGATAACTGTTTTAATGCTGAATCTAAAAGTTTATGTTTAGTATATATTATAATTGTGTGTAAAAATCTCTTGACAGAGGATGGTAAACAAGAGAAAGAGTCAAAAGAGGAACGTAAGAAGAGAAGAAAGACTAGGTGGGGAGGTAGCGAACATGACAAAACATTTATACCAGGGATGCCTACAGTACTACCAACAAATCTGACTCCTGAACAGGAGAAGGCTTATCTCTGTAAGTTTTTTTTACTCGTTCAATATTTATAACAGATTTCTTTTCATACGTTAGTACATGTAGCTAGGGAACTCTTTTAAATATTTTGCTTTTGTACATAAGTTTTCAAAACCTAATTTGTAGAGTACATGACTATGAACAATGTAAGTATAATATATGTATCAATAAAAGCTCAAAGTTCTCTGAGGTAAGCATTGGGATTCCTTAAGAGTTGTATTAAATCATCAAATTTGGCAATAAAAATTGCCAATTTTGCTTAATAATTAAGATCCAACCATTTATGCATCTTCAATGCCCCAGAAAGTTTCGTTAGTTTTGTTATATATTTATATAAGCATATTGTTATTTAGGTATATAAAGAATTTACTAAAAGAATATTTGAGGTCATCTCATAATTCTTTTTTTCTTAATATAGCTAAATTTCTTGTAGTTGATAAGTCACAAAAAGCTCCACAGGCTTTTGACTTTGAAACTGATTAAGGTGCAATTGAAATACATGCAGTAATCTTATTTATTCTGAGACGTGCTTATTTTATAGAATGTATATGGTTATAGCAAATTAGCAATGTCTAACTGTTGGGGTTTCCGCCCCCTCTAACCCATTGGTTTACAGTTCAGCTGCAGATTGAGGAAATCAGCAGGAAACTACGCACTGGAGACCTTGGAATTCCACTTAACCCTGAGGAAAGGTTTGAAAGAAACTTACATACCAAAAATGACCATTACATATCTACAATACCTATCTACTGACCATACAGCAGCCCATAATTCAGGAGCCTTAAAAATATCTCTATGGCTCAGGTTCAATTAGTGTGGGATACCGATGTTCAATTGAAAACATTGGGCTTGATCGAAGCCCCCACGCAACACAGAAGATGAATTTTGATAATATTGGTTTGCCCTAATCAATTTCTTTTAATAATCCCATTTTTATTAGACACTGCTACAACGTGATCAATCCGCCGTGAAATTTGATGGGTTAAGAATCAGATACAGTGGTTTTTTATATATTTAATGTTCAAAGAGTTGTCAATTTTGTAAATAAGTAGCAGTGTTTAAAGAGCAGTGGGTATTCTAGTTCATACATCTTTTAAATAGATACATTCTTGCACACATAGAATGACTTTGAGGTGACCTATTGCAATCTGTTTCTAACAATCGGATAAAAAATTCTACATCATTAATGAACTATGATACACAATTGTAGCAGATAACAAATCATTTTGTCACTACAATAGCATATATGGGTCATCTCGAGTGAGATTCTGCCCTTTTATTTAGGCTGCCGTGATTTGCACGGCATTTTGAAACCATCAATAATAATGATAATCTTGATGCCGATAGGAAGAGATCATTAATCAACTTGCTAATCTTTGTCGTTAATTACAACCTTAATGAGCAGATTTCAGGAAAATATCGGTTTGTTGAAATTTTCTAATTCGTAACGTAATGCTGTAACGAAGAATCTAACGTTACTTTCAGGTACATCTTAAATAAACACACATACTTTTTCTAATAAATTTATTTATTCCAATAGGTTTAACTTTTCCGATTTTAGCTGGAACCGTTATTTTTATGTCATTGTGTTTCCGTTGATAGCGTACGATATAGTAAGATATACCGATCGTACTACAACTAATTCAAAAGATTATTTCTTAATAATCACAGGATCTGTCTTAGCAGCTGACATCATACCGATATCTGCCGTGCACAAACGCGCAGTCTTCCAGTGGTTATGTACAATAGAACACTAAATATGTAGCTACGCTCTATCTGACAGCAGCACAATTTTCTATTCTTTATTTTTTGATACCTTGGCCTTGTTGTGGGAAATTATATAATACACGTACATTTCCTTTATTTTTGGCAGTACATAAATAATTATATAAGCATAACCTTCAATACAGTTGATATTGACTTTTCTAGGAAGTATATACACATTTTCTATATTACTGGCATTTATCAATCATGCTGTTGTTATTGATACAGAATTATTAAAAGTTATTAATTATTAATGGTACTTTATAATGTTATATTTAATAATTTTCTTTTAAATTGTAACTTTTCTATGCTGCATAAAAAATTCTCAATATAATATTCCTTTCAAAAGCACAAATATATATTTATTACAACATTAAATTTATAATTTACCGAACATTTTTCTAACGTGGTCAGACAATATCATGCTTATTAAAAAAAAGAAAGAGAGAGAGAGAGAGAAAGAGAGAGAGAGAAAAGAAGGAAAACTAAATCACATGAGTCTAGACAGGAACAAAATCATATAACGGTAATTTTTTTATCATAGAGCTGTTCGGAACCTACATAATTTTCTGCTCTAAATCAACAGTTTTTCTCCATCTATTCATATGGTCATAGTAGGCTCAGGTTGCTTGTACGCTAGTAACGTCTTGACGAAAATTTATATTTTGATATGGTATTATCTGTTTTGTTTTCCAGATCTCCATCTCCAGAACCAATCTACAGTAGTGATGGTAAACGGTTAAACACAAGGGAATATCGTACGAGACGTAAATTGGAGGAAGAACGTCACAATCTTATTCAGAAGATTCTCAAGATCAATCCAGATTTTAAGCCACCACCAGATTATAAGTGAGTGAGCCCTACATTTTGCATCCACACATCCACATACAGTTTTTGTATAAATAATTAATTTAAATAATTAACTTATAAGTAATATTTTTCGATATTTGTATTTATTCTTTTTTTCCAGACCACCGATAATACGAGTTCATGATAAAGTAATGATTCCTCAGGAAGAGCATCCTGATATAAATTTCGTAGGTTTACTTATTGGACCACGGGGGAATACCTTAAAATGTAAATAGATTGCAAATCGCAAAGCGATACATTTAAGTGATTTGTACAATTATAATTTATTTAATAATTTACATATATGCGATTGATTTTAAATTTTATACGTTCGAAAATGTTCTAGCTATGGAAAAAGAAACAGGTGCAAAAATCATAATTCGTGGAAAGGGCTCCGTGAAAGAAGGTAAAGTTGGTAGAAAGGATGGTCAACCTTTACCTGGTGAGGATGAACCTTTGCATGCGTACATCACAGCGAATAATTTAGATGCTGTAAAAAAGGCTGTGGAACGAGTATGTGTTTGTTCACATTAATCCATATAATTTTATACTTCTTTTGAAACTACTTAAACACTATAGAAATATGTTAATGCTTACATTAAATATAAACTGAGTTTGCATTCGTATTATTGTATGTTGAAATACGTAATAAACGAAACAAGCGAGAATATTATGATGTTAATCACATTAACATTATCAGATACACGAGATTATTCGGCAAGGTGTGGAAGTGCCAGAAGGCCAAAATGATTTGCGACGTAATCAGTTACGTGAGCTAGCCTTATTAAATGGAACTTTGCGTGAAAATGACGGTCCACGTTGTACCAACTGCGGAGCTTCGGATCACAAATCCTGGCTGGTTTGTATATTTTTATATGAATTGTAGTATTATGTACACATATATAATTAATTTTATATATATCATAACTTTATAATTCTAAAAGGATTTTCCTCGTTTATATCCTTGTTAATATTAACTCGTTAATTTGTGATGTAATTTCAGTGTCCAGATAAACCGAATGTGACAAACAATATAGTATGTTCGAGTTGTGGAGGTGCGGGACACATTGCTCGAGATTGTAGATCAAAAAGACCCGGTCAGGGAGGTCCAGCAGCTGCTGGAATGGGAGGTATGGGTCCAGGTGGTGATAAAGCCAAGATAGATGAGGAGTATATGTCACTCATGGCAGAGTTAGGAGAAGGACCGCCACCAGACAGATCGAAAAGTGGACAGCCCAGACAGAATCCGAATCCTAATTACCCCGGACTCTTCGATAGGTACAAAACTTTATTATCCTCTTTGGATCTAAATCTCTTGTATCAGTAGAATACGATAATCATATCTTCCCTATTTTGTTTTTCTCTCTAGACAACAACCGCCTCGAGCGTTGATGGCATCCCCAGCTCATCCGCCCCCTCAGATAATGCAGGGTGGACCGATGATGCCACCGCCGGGTATGGCACCACCACCATGGAGCCAGGGTGACAATATGAACAATATGAACATGCAATGGCAACCACCAGTTAGTATGCCACCACCGCCAGGTGTGATGCAGCCGCCACCGCCACCACCTGGTTCTACCGCAGCACAACCCAACATTCCACCATTAATGCCATGGATGGCTGGCAACAATCAGCCGCCACCACCGGGCCAGATGCCACCCACGCAAATTCCACCGCCCGGCATGGGTATACCACCGTGGCAGCAAGGTCAACAAGGTCCTATGCGACCACCGCCACCTGGAACAGCACCACCACCGGGATTCCCAGGTTGGCAGCATCAGCAGATGGGAGGCTGGCCGCCAGCTGCTCCAGTACCGCCTCCGCCACAACAACAAACTCCTGCACCACCGGGTATAGACCTCAACCTGAACACTTTGCCAACTTTGCTCGCGCAGCCACCGCCGCCGCCTCCACCCACTAGTTAGTCTTAAACTCAGCGAACCTTCCTGTGAAGTATAATCAGAACGAAGTTAACGGAAATTAATGAGGAACTATTACATCGCAGTCTTAATTTATATGATAGGTTTTGATTATTCTTTTCTTCATACGTGACTTCGTGCTAACGACGTCGTTCTAATAATGTGCGACATGTGATTACTAAATTTTCGACGAATTTATGGAGATATAGGTGACTTAATTGATTGTAAGCAGATAAAATGAATGAACGAGATACAAATCTTGGAAAAGATTATGCGTGCTATTTGTCATAGAACACGTAACTTCAATTATTGACTTTAAACTGGCATAACTCGCTCTTAAATTTTATATAAATTCGTTTAAATGACTACGGCACATAAATTTTCTCAAATACAAGCACAAGTAACGAAAGTATTTTTTTTTCTTTTTTTTTTTTAATTTCATTTCGAAACATTGCTTTCAACATCGATCAATGTTATAAAATTGTAACATAGGTAAATATTACACAGTTCGGATATTTTATTTATATATAAATAATATGCTCTATATGTATATGTATCATTACGCATGATTAGTATGAATATTCAGTGATATATATATATATAGTTTACGATATACGGTAACAAAATTTGTTCTAATATATGCGTCAATTCATTCATGGATCAGGTATGAAACGTTCTCAACATTCGTACAGAGCATTAACAAATGATTTTTTCAATTAATTCTAAGCAACATCGAGTGATTCTCGCAGAAATGTCAATTGAATCACACGCGCTTGTCGAACGTTCGTGGGCGATATAAGGTGAAATAGATCAATCGGTGACATTAGGTGAGGGACATTTCCATATGTTCTCTCTGCCTTATAACATTTAGAGGATAGAGGAAACCTAAAAGTATCCCTTATCGATTTTGATAGGCTTTGAATATATTAGAATTAGTTAAAAATAAAATATATTCATATGTTTGCCCGCACGTTCAGGAATAATTCAATTTAAAAGACAATGTAATAAAGATCGCGATCAATTTATCTTGAAGAATGGGTTGGTTCAAACACGAAAACAATATTTCTTATATTCAGCTACTCTACAGAATATTCAAAGTCATCAATCCTAATTTGTTAGTTCATATATCCAAATTGTCACTTTTTTAGCAAGAGGAATATACTATATCCCCAATCATGGAAAAAAAGATATACGTGAAGATATTAGGGAAAAAAAAATAAAAGAATGAAAGTGTGAATTAAAAAAAATGTAGATCTCGTCAACGTGATACGAATGTCCAAAACTGTTAATGTCCAAGCGCAATAATTTCTTAATAAACAGTACGTTAGAGAAAATTAGGTAAAACCTAAAACGCAAAGTTCTGAATCGCGTTGACGCTGCTTTATATATGACAAGGTTAATATTCTGTATTACATTGATTGTATAATGAATTTGTGGAGAAAAGTCCACTAGATTGCTTGATGTGTGTTCTGATTACACAATAAACGCATATAAAACAGAATATGTGCATTTCAAAAGTTATTTTTGTTTCTTGCTTCAGTTTTACATAGTCATTTATATTTGTATTAATATCTGACTAGTCATGTTAGTATATCTTTATCAAAGACACTATTGTGCAATCATAGTCATGTTATTATTTCAAAATTATCATTCTTATTAAAATCATTTACATAAGTATATATATATATATTACTTTAATCAAGTTTATTTCCGTGAGAAAAAGATATATATATTATACCTACAACAGATTGTAGCAATATACTAAATGTTCACAATGATATTATATATATATTTAACAATCATTTTAATGTTTCTTCCCTTCTTCTAATTTCTCCTCTACTTCTGGATACTGTGTGTTGTACCACTTTATATATTCATCTTTCATCTCTTCACGACGTGCAAAGTATTTTGGATACATAGCTTTCTCCAGAGGATGCCAGTAATCTAACAGCCAGTCTGGGGCATAGCCTTTTCTATTGTATGCAATTCCTGTGATTGAATTGGCAAACTTAATTGGTTGATAATGCATTTTAGAAAATAATTCTTTTTCTCCTTCTATCAGCAAATGATTTGCATGACGCATGTCCTTTATATCTTTGTTTTTATCAAAACGTTCTCTCATTAAAACAGCCTGAAACCTATAGAAGAATCATAAGTACATTACAACTGCATTATTAAATATATTTATACTCAAAGCTGATTAGTATTTTCAAATTAATATAGTATTTTCTATGAGGACTGCTGGTTACATCAGTTAAAGTTAGCTGATTGCTTACTTTGATCATTTTTTAGTTTATTTATTTTATACACAATCACCTAAGTTTACTGATATAGTGTTGTTACGCAGATATAATTATATTATTAAATGTCCGTGTACGACATATAATAAGCTAATAATCATCGGTAAACATATACGAAATACAGTCTCTGAATACACATTTATATTTGAGTCCGACCAGAACAAATAGGTATATATTTGACGCATTTGTGTCATCCGTACAGCTGATATATCCGTGCATACCTGTAACTGTGTGGTTGGTGATACCAATCCGCTAGACAACGCAAAGAACGTTTGTATAAACTACACACTTTTCGCGAGTGCGATACCAATTCCGAAGGAATATGAGCCATTGCTTTTATTTAAAAGATTGTGATTCTCATCCAAAAATCTTTCGATCGCACGATCACACGATTACATGAACAACCATGAATAATAAATCATGAACGAGAATTACTCAACACCATATGTAGAGAGAGAGTAGAGTTTTCAAACGCCCACTAGCTAATCGACACTCAACCGACATCTTACGAGTACAATTCAAACGAAGAATCCTCATAGTTACCCTTTTACTTGATACCCTTAACAATTCAAATAAGAATAAAATTTAACGAAAAATGCATTTTGAAATATTTTTGTGATTGTCTGATACATATATATATATATATATATATATATATATATATAGAAGAATGGAACGAATGTTTAGTTTATATGCGAATGACACACAGGACAGATCATTAAAAAACACTAGAAAACAAAATACAAATAAGTAATAGCAATCCCCTGTTCAAGATAATACTCAGAGCGACAAAAAGTCACATCTAAAAACGAAAATAAACAAGATAATCAAATCACATTCAGTGCATGACAAAAAATAAATAAACATCAACTAGATGGCTGTACTTGATGTCGATACTGAGCGTGTGAATGGAACTAGACTTCCGGGCTAGACTGCAAGGGCGAGATCGCGACGGAAATGCGCGACGGCGATGAACGAATGATGGCGACGCCGTAATAATAACAATCGCCGCGTTGTACACGACCTTCGCGTTTTTCACTGGAGCTTCTTCGTCGTAAAGCGATTTTCGCGGATTTGCGAGGTGCATAATACTTCCAAGCGGTTTGCTGAGCAGCTAGCGCCAAGTTGCCGCGTCCAATCTGTAATGCGACACAATTATGTCCGCGCGCACAATCACGCGGCGGCGGCGACGACGACGACAACGATTTACGCACATTGAAATGCAGCGGAATAAACGCGGATTGATCAGCGTCGGCGATTTTCACGCGGAATATCGCGTCGTCGTGTCCGACTGCATCGGGCTTTAATTTGACGGCGGGAATATGAAAACTGCTGCCAGCGTGTATGATACATACGCGAAATGCCGTGTCGGCCGCTATTAACGACACTACCTGATTTCTTTTTACAGGTTAAACGCTGGCAACAACACGAAAATAACGAAACATGATGCCGACAATGCCACCCGACTCGCATAAAATCTCACTGAAGATTATAGAGGCGATCAAGCAACATCCGGTGTTGTACAGCGCCGAAGTGCGGGGCCCAGCGATCAAGCTGCAGGAATTTAGGCAGAAAGTCTGGAAACGTATTTCGGACGAACTCGGACTCGATCGTATGTACTTTGCGAGTTCTCGTTTTATGGATGTTAATCTTTTGGATCTATGGATGTTAATCCAGGACATGCTATTTTTCTGCATTTATTCTCATCCCCTCCCCTCTATTTTACACAATATTATCTGTTTCGATATTTACAGAGGGAAATCTAAGGATGTCTTTTTCATAATTTTTCACGGTTTATGCAATTACGCTCCTCTTTTGCATAAGATATCATGAGTGATATCTTTTTGTGTGGATATGCGTTATTTTGCTATTAATTATTCGATATTCAATAAATATACATTGGAAATTTGATATTGTTTATTACAGCAACTTGGGTAAGATTAAAATGGAAGAATCTTAGGGATACCTATTGCCGTATTTTAAAGTATAAAAATAAAACAGAAGAAGCTACAAGAAAGAAGAAATGGATCTTTGAGGATCATTTAAGCTTCATAAAATTTCCGTAAGAAATATTGTTTGTTAGCACAAGGTTGTTTTATTAAGCTTGATCCTTTCAGTCAAGTATATTTTTATAGGCAAGAATTGGGTTATCAGCCGCAATGTGTAGAACTGACTGAGGAATATATACAAGACATAAATGCAGGTGGAATAAGTTCTGAAGGTTTATTGGAACAATTAGAAGATAGGAACGATGAAGATTACAGTGAATACTTAGAAGTTCTTGAAGAAACAACAGCAGATCCAGTTTCGATGGAATCTGAAACTATAGAAACATATGAGAGCAATGATCCGCAGCAACTGACCACACAAGAAATGGCAATCAATTCACAGGAGTCTGCACAACGGGATATTGATAGTTATGCCCAGGAAATACAGTCAAAATACCGGAAAATACGTCCGAAACGAATAAAGACTCATGCATCTGCTTCGAATATATCTAACACTTACAATATATTGAAAACTAACAATACAAACACACTTCTTGATGCCAATGCAATGACTAATTCTGTTAATCCTATAATTGTGACAAGCTCTGTTCTAACGCCAATTACGCCTATTTCTACGTCTGCAAACGAATCGGGCGATCTAAAGGAAGAAATAGATTATGAGCAGTTTTTAGTGCCTGAAAGCAAAAGCAGCATAGAGTTGTTTTTCGCTAGCATGGCACAAACTGTGAAAAAGCTCCCAGCTAAGGCACAGGCAGACATCAAGATGAACATTTGTAAAATAGTTACAGAAGCGGAAATGCGATATTCCAAAGAGATTACTGCGCAAACTACGCAGCAATTTATTACGCCACCTGGTATGATACCGAAACTAGTATTGATACCCTGCAATAAGTTCGATAATCAAAGCATCAAGGACTGATACTGGTCCTGATAAGCCGCACTTAATTAATCGGACGATAACGACTTATTAGGCTCAAAAATGGTACAAAACAACATAATCGTCAGATATCATGTGAATAATGAAAATAGATATAAGTGTTTCTGTCGATAATTTTTTAATTAGAATGTTAGGAAACTGATGAAATATGAACAGAAAAGAAATAATTGTTCCAGACTGTCTTATAAAATGCAATACCAGCTTACTCTGAAAAGTAAATATTAAAATCTTTTTCTTGTTTTTCTTTTTCTAATAATTCATACAAAAGAGCGCAAACAGAAATATATGTAAATGTTATTCGTACAAGAAATGATGCTTATTAAGCATTTTTTCTATGATGTATGATTGAATAATTATTACCAGAAAGAGAGATTAGTCGTGTTTGTCAATCTAGATTTAACCCTTTGCACTTGGAGCCATCTCACGGGTTACCAGCACCACCAGTTCGACGGCACCTTTTTAGGAAAATGTGCAAATAGAAATCGCGTCATGTTAAATAGCTTTGAAACCAAGTATCACATTCTTTAAGTGTTGACATTGGACCATTATTGATATCACGGTGAATACATTTCACACGTAATGAATACTCTTTCTACGTAATACCAGCTGATTCCAGTAGTTTGCTAGACTTACGATGTCCCCTCAGAAGGAACATCCGAATGCAAAAGGTTAAATAATGCATGAAAATACGTCAGCGTTGTTCGCGTGAGAAGTAAAATGATACTTCACAAAATTTTGTATTTTATTTACAATTGTCATTGCATATCTAATGTACATTCGTTTGTAAGACGGTTTTCGCATTTTTTAAACAATGTTTATAGTTTTATACTGTAAACAATGGTTCACAATTGTAATCATACACCGAGAGCGTTTCTAATTTTATCGAAAAAATGTATAAAACCCCTTTTGAAAATGAGTATACATCAGCATACATATACATGAGCATACAAAATGTATGACATCAATCATGATAGCTTAAACTGTAACTTAAGATATATTTTTTATCATCATAAGGAAATTGTTTTGTCCTTATTTAGTTGGTTGTCAGGAAAAAAGAAATGTTTTTAAAAATTATGTTACTGTTTTTTTTCTTTAAGCAACACTTTTTATTAAAAGAATTTGGTAAACCAAGTTGGTGAATTCTCATTGCAGATAGTAACTTTATAAATATAGTTGTGATATTGATGAATGTATGTGTGTCATTCTTACAAGATTGTGTTTCTTTAATCTCAGATAAATACAAAACAATATGTAATATATTAAAATGGAGATAATGTATAGTTAATTAATGATTCATTTTTCTGGAATAATCAATGAATGTTCTGTATATAACATGCTTGATAATTAAATAATTAATACATTAGTGCATCTGAATAAAGATGCATATAAAATATGTGTTACATTTCTACTACTTAAACATTTATTTAAAGAAGTAATATCATTTTGTTATGTTTTTAAATAATACTAAGAGTTACATTTTTGTTATAGCTGAGTAACTGTTACAAATTATTAAAAGATAAAGTCTAATCAAAACAGAGAGTTATGAAAGAGAGATTAAACGTTAAAAGGGAGGAAAAACGTTACAAACGCTTGTTAAACTCGATTTTAGTGAACTGGAAATAAATCATAAATAGCAACTGAGATATATTTCTATTTTATACCTACGTAATAATTGCGGGCACCGATCCCGTTAAATCAATTGTTTAATAATAACATTTGTAGCATATAGCAACATAATCGAGGAATCAGCCTGAAATTTAAACTTGGAAAGTACACATAAAGATATCGATGTAGAAGCAAAAAATCAGTCGATATTTCAAGTATTATTTATATTTGTTGATAAGAAATCTTCTGATGGTATTTTATCATACGAAGTTACTAACACGACTACTCTTGTGTCGGCTGCTATTGCGTAATCACGTGTCATATCTCAATAATCTGCAAGAATCAAACAGTGTAATTATGAAGCAAAATATGTCTTTTTTTTTTCTATTTATCAATGTGAACCAACATTTCCACGAAAGATAACAAGAAATTCATAGTCACTGTCGTATTATAAAACCTTTCAAGTCTTCTACGTCCGTTGACTATCACGGAGAGGTACAAAACTATAATGCTATCGCATGCAAAAGTGCTATCGTCGGATATATATTTCAAAAGTTTCAACACGAAATACTAGTAACAAATTGAAAGAAAATAAAAATAAAAAAGGGTGATTTTGACATTATATCATAAAAAAAGGCTGGATATCAATACAAAAATACGGAATAACTATTTTTCGAAGGTAGTTAAATAGTTGGGCATTCTTCAACAATCAATGAAAGTTTAAACATCGACGAAAATGTTGCGACATTTGACATGTGAAAGAGCACACACGAGTTTCTTCAAGCAGTGCTCAGCGGTTCAGTTCATAAATCCATTCAGAAAGCAGGTAATGTGTGTAAAATATATAATAGCAGAAAACTGTATGTTCGTCTAAGGTTATAAATTGAACACAGTGTTTCGTAAAGCATGAAATAAAAATTCTTAAATTGTCAACTTGTTATTACAATAATAACAATAATATTAATATATAATTCATGAAAATAGATGTCAAGCATGTCTCATTTACTACGTATTTATAAAAATATAGATATATGTTAGACTTCATAAGAACAAATATTACAAAGATTTTAAAAGAAACAACTTTGAAGAATATATTTAGAAGGAAAGTTTTATAATTTATTTTGTAACACAATAATTATTGCTATATTAAATTTATAGAGTTCAGATATCAAAGACAAGGATGAAGATAAAGATAAATATAAAAATTTTCAATATAATACTTCTCCAAGTCAGAGAATGTTGAAGAGTCTAAAACAAGACTGGTCATTACTAAAGAAAATATTGTCACGTAACAAACAATTATCAGATTTTGAAACTTTTTTTAAAAGACCTGACATCATCCCTCATCAATGTGATATACTCATTATTGGTGGTGGTGCAATAGGTAGTTCAATAGCATATTGGTTAAAGAAGATGCTGCATAGAAAAGAATTTACTGTTAGTATAGTTGAAAGGGATCCTACGGTAAGATTAACTTTGCGTGTCTTGGATACTAAGATATATTTTTCTATTTTATTAAAATAAAACACTAACTATAATTTAAAACAGTATTTGATCTTAATTATTTTAGTATTCTAAGGCTTCTACAAGTCTCTCTGTAGGTGGTCTACGCCAACAATTCTCTCTCCAAGAAAATATTCAGATGTCACTGTATGGAGCAGAATTTCTGCGCAATATTAATGAATATCTGAATACACCTTATGAAGATCCCATTGACGTGAACTTTCATCCTTATGGCTATTTAGTATTGGCAACTGAGAAAAATGCTGAGGTCTTAGTAAACAATTCCAAGTTACAGAATTCTCTAGGAGCCAAAAATGTAATTCTTACTCAGGAGAAATTGAAGACCATGTTTCCTTGGTTGAATACCAACGGGGTTGCGGCAGGTTGTCTCGGTTTGGAAAAGGAAGGATGGTTTGACCCATGGACTTTTTTATGTGCCTTGAAGAATAAAGCTATTTATTTGGGTGCTCAGTATATTAACGCTGAAGTGAAGGCTTTCCAATCTGAGGAAATTTCAGAAGCTTATGACAGTAATATGGATACCATAGAAAGATTAAAGAAAGTGATTGTAAGTAGATATTTACAAACCAATTTTATTTATTTATCAAGTTTACTCAAAAGTTAGAATGGCAAATTATTGAGTTTTGCGACATAATAAATATGCTAATAAAAAAAATAAAAGAGATCTGTGAAACATGGTTTCTCGTAAAAATATATAAATAAACGAAAATCTTATAGGATTTTAATATCGAAAAATATCAAATATGTCGCATCGTTCCATGTCAATTCGAATTGACGATTGTTAATCAATGATAATCGAGCAAACCAGATGGTAAAATCTTCAGATTGTTTCTAAACTTTTAGACAAATTGTCATTCATGTATTTGGTATGATCTTCACCACTAATAGAAAAATTTATTTCCTATTAGATAAAAACGAATGATGGTGACATTAGGGAAATAGAATTTAGCGTATGTGTCATTGCTGCGGGTGCGTTTAGTGGCGAGATAGCAGAGTTAGCCAATATTGGAACTGGTAAAGGAATAATGTCTGTACCTTTACCAGTGGTGCCAAAGTAATTAATTTTATTAATAGCAAGTTAATTTTATTAATAACTGCAAAAAATTACTTGTAATTTTGTTATTCGCTACTTCTTAAATCTATTACTAACGGAAAGTCTAATATTTTTTTTTTTTATAGGAAAAGATACGTATATTGTTTCCATAGTCCTGACGGACCTGGTTTAAATACACCTTTAACAATTGATACCAGCGGTGCATATTTTAGGTACTAGTAAATCTACCTTCAATGCTTCCAGTATCTTCAATCAATATTAGAAGCAGAATAGATATTACAGTGGATAAGATAAATAAAATAGTAATATTATACATATGAGATAAATTTGGAATTATTTCCAGGCGAGATGGTCTAGCAGGTCATTTTATTGGCGGTAAATCACCAGAATCGCACGAGGAACCGCCAGTAAATAATTTAGATGTCGACCATGAATATTTCGACAACAAAGTATGGCCAGCACTCGCCCACAGAGTACCAGCATTCGAAAACTTGAAGGTATTTTTTCCCATTATTATGCTGAGTAAATGTACGTGCAAATGAGATCTAAACTTGATTATATAATATAGCTACATATAATTTTCTGTAAACAATTTTTATAAATGTAAATAATGTATATGTTCGCGATTAAATTTCACAATTTCCCGCTGAAGTTACATTAATTATAACATCAAAAGGAAAATATATAAATTTTTTATATTTTGCTTTCCTCAAGCTGCAATCCAATATAATCACAAAGAATATACAAGAATTTTAATGTACTTGAAAACATATTAACAATTTTTCATTGCAAATTACATTTGAACCATTATATTTTGATCAGGTGAAATCTGCGTGGGCTGGATACTATGAATACAATACTTTCGACGAAAACGGTATTGTCGGCCAACATCCTTATCACAAGAACCTGTTAATAGCGACTGGTTTTAGCGGGCATGGCATTCAGAAAGCACCGGCGGTAGGACGCGCAATAGCAGAATTAATTTTTTACGGTCGTTATGTCAGTATAGATTTGTCCACATTAGGTTTCCAGAGATTCTTAACAATGGAACCTATGAGAGAACTTAATGTGTTTTGAGCATTAAAGTATAAAGAAGTAATGTAATGTATTGTTTTCGTATACGATTGTATTATTCATCATTGTACATTTATAAAAAAGACGGTTGAACTCGAAAATATAGAAATTATTATTTTCTTCTTTCCTGCAAAGATGATTAATTTTCTCCATGTACGCTGTATAACTTACTTTTCCGCGAGCAATCCTTACTGTACGAAGATACAAGTTTTGACAGTGTAAACGAAAAAATTTAATATTTGTATCATTAATTTTATTCGTTCGTTAACTTACTTTCGGAAACTAAATGATATAATATGCATATATTTCAGATATACACTTATATAATATACCCTAAATAACACACACTCGTATAATATAAAAAATAGGATCAAATATTTATAATTGTTTACAATTGTATCGACATGGACTAAGTTTACATGGCAGCCTAAAACTGGTTTAGTAACCTCCGATGTTATAACTTCTGTAAATCTACATTCGTTTACACAGAACTGTTTTAACTAATCTTCGCTATACTTATGGATGTTATAACTTGAGAGTATTGTGTAATATAACCTATATTATCAATAGTCTAGTATTACCAATAAATTTGAGAATATAAGGTCAATTCATTTTCACTGCACTAATTCAGAATTTCTTCGAAAACGAATAGATCGAATAGTTAAATTGGCAATGCAGGAGTATCAATATTTTTACCATTTACACGTTTCTTTAAACCCTGACTTATAACTCTAAGGGCCGGTTTATCAATATTCAGTTAAGTTAAATTTGACCAATAGTTAAGTGCTAAACCTCTTTTCCAATAGATGTAGAGTTATAAGTGGTGTTGTAACATCGGTGTAATGTAAAGCAGTGTTTATACGATATTTAACAATCGTAGTTACAACATCGGAAGTTATTAAACCGGTTTTAGACTGCCGTGTAACTTAGTCATGCGTATAATGTAACGATTCATATTCACAATGAAAACACGTTTCATGAATGTTTAGGATAAAATTTGACTCATATACGCGGTAGCATCTTCTTCCCCTACATTTTGTAGTATGCCTCGCAGTTGTTCAAGAGATATATCGCTTTGTATCTAAGAAGAGATAAAAATTATGCATTGTAATTATCTTCCGCTCCGAAGAACGTGAAACATTTGATGAGAAAGTAAAAATCTTACAGCGATATAATTCAAGAGAAGTAATGCTGGACTGGAAGAACTTTGTTGGAAAGTCTTCATTAAATATTTATAATTGAAATAATCAACTAATTTTTTCCATCCTTCTGTGCTATCCAGAATAAGTGACAATTGTTTTTCTTGTTCTCCATCCAGCCAAATTTTTTGCACATCGTCGATATCTTCCTCCTTCTTAATTATATCAATTGTGTCATCCATCAGTGCATTATGCTTACCAGATACTAGGTTTAAAATCTGCAATGAAATAAAATTTCTTTTTATTGATAAATAAGTAGCAAGGATTATATAAAATATATTTCGTTCATCGTAGTACATCTGGATTGTTTGATGCTAAATCAAAGGACGATTGCCCGGAGAATTCTTCCATATTCTCATCTTCCGAATCCACTTCGCATTTTATAATTGGAGTAATTACCATTTCTTCCTGTTACAAAAATATAATAAAATGTAATAAAAACTGTTCAAATAAGTAACCTACTATATTTTTGGCAAATTTATTATTTGTTATCAAGATGTATTAAAATCTTTTTTATTGTCGATAAACCTTTTTTTACAAAAAGGATCCTTTATCATTAAGGAAAAATAAATTTTTATAGCTTTCCTCTTGCTACAATTTATACAAAATACATTCCTCATTTGTAATAATTATTCTTATCAATGTTACTTTAGAGATCCTATTATCCTCGCATATTACATATCATTTTTCAATTACATATTTGGACATTTAATTACGTTACTAAATTAGTATTTAGACCTACTTGGTCTGATTCGTGATTATGATTCTTTATGTGTGGATTGGCACCGTGTTTTATCAGAAGAGCACATATCTCTTTGGCTTTTGCTCCTGGTGTAACGACTGCATTATGTAACGCCGTATTTCCTCCTAAGTTCTTCTTGTTTACATTTATCTTGGTCTATACAATAAAACAAAAATATCAGTATCATTTAAATCTTCATATGGGAGATATATCTCTAAAAAACTCCATTATACATTTTTTAACAGGAATTCAACTATGTCTCTATGTCCTCCTTCAACCGCTATATGCAAAACAGTTCTCCCGTACGACATGTCGACATTATTTATGTTTGCGCCTGTTTTAATAAGAGATTCTACTGCATGATAGGATCCTGCTTCGGCAGCCAAATGTAAAGGTGTCCAACCTAAATCCGTGTAAGCTTCTAAGTTGACATCTTTTGCACTCAATAAAATGTCAACGCATTCTTTTGTTTCTTGAACTGAAAAACCACATTTTTATATAATTATAAATATATAACACAACTACGTTTTCGATTCATTTTATATTAATTTAAAGAGTATATTGTATCCGATTATTTTGAATAATTTTAAACTGGTATACATACACCTCACAGCATTGTGCAATGGCATTTGTCCACAATGGTCGGAAAGATTTGGATCTGCACCCAGCAAAAGTAATACTTTGGTGATATCTGATTGATTTTGTGTAACGGCATAATGCAACGGTGTCTGTAGCATAATATGATATACTAATGTAAATTTTATAATAATTTAACAAGATATGTACCATCAATCTATCTGAAAAGACTCACCTTTCCAGAACTGTTTTGAGTGTTCACTAAATCTTTATAATCTGAAAGAGTGGTCATAAGCATAAAGATATATTTAGCGATGTTCTTTTGCCCATAGCGGAGCGCAGAATGAAGCGGGGAGTCTCCATAAGTTGACCTGTCTTTGAGAGAGTTTTTAATAATATCTTTTTGCTTCCCTTTATCTGCCTCTGCTTTGATTCGTTTTAAAGCGTCAATAACAACATTTCTGGCAAACGCTTTGTCACTTTCCAGCTATAAAGACAAAATACAGCATGACAACATTGATGTAATAATAATGAAGATTATAATTATCCGTATATTCTATAAGTCGGTATATATTTTAGATTTGATGCTTGCCTTTCTCGATGGTCCGTCGTAAGTTAATTTATTTTCTTCGCTACTGGACAACAAACTCGCGTACCCTAAAACATTAATCTGCATTAAACAACATCGTTGAAGTTTTAAAGATAAGTGATATGTAAGTTGGGATCTTTAAATTTGTCGATAGATAGATATAAAATTCAATCCTCACTTTCAAAATCTAAATCCGCAAAAAAATCGCGGAATTCAGTAGAAGGACATTTATCCTCCAACATCTTCTTTATTTCATTCGACATTTCACTGCTTTCATTGGCCATATGTACATTCAATGGTAGATCCAATGGTGGATTCACATTTTGATTGAATGTCATTTGAGTCAACTCGGCACTACTGGAATGAGAAATTCGCGTTCTTTTCCTACCTATAATTAAAAATAAAAAATAAAAAATAGACACAATTTATAATAATGTTTGTTAATAGCATGTGTAAGAAAAACAGCGTTTTATTATTAACTCACCTATCATTCGATCACTGGGTTTATATGTGAATTTGATTGGCTCTGAACAATCTGAATCTGTAGGGCGCTCTAATTGTATGAAAACTTCTCGTGGAGAAGTAATGCTTTGATCTTTATATGGTGGGGTCCTACAAATATATTAATAGTAATCAACCAAGTATACTATAAATTAATTAAGTATTTGACGCAGTAAGTATACACAGTATATGCAAAATGCAGTATACATACCGAAATACAATAGCATACTGATGATGAACATCCAGTTCAGAAAAACGGCCATAATCGAACCAAATCTCGATATCGTCCTCATTTAGTTCAAAAAACTTTATTTTTATATTTTCTATAATAAAATGTTCATATATTATACATCAATATATGCAATATACATTATTATGATGAATTAAAACTCCAAATAAGTAATACTACTTACTTTTGCCGACCTTTTCTACAAATATAAACACTTCTTCGCCACCTTCGCAGCTGCTTGTATATTTGTCAATTCTGCATATTTTAAGTTCTCCAGTTAATGCACTTTCTATCAAGGAATATTAATATTAGATTTTTTTTTAATTATCACCAAAGTATTTTAAAATTTCAAGTATAAATTTTTCCTAATAAAAATGTCGCGGTAAATTATTTAAACTTACTCAAATTATTGATTGGATTGCTATAAACTGGTGCTGTGATAGGCCTCATAACATCATGTTGATCTGCAATAAATCCTTGAAAACATAGAGCGACACTATTCAAATTCATAGACCTTTGATAAGTTTCTGCATTAGCTTTAATCTGAAATCAAAACAAAATACTTTTTAAAAAATTTATTTGATTTAAATTTATATATTTGATTTATATATATATATATATAATTTATTTCTGATTTATTTTTAAAGATAGTTTAATTATAATTCACTCTGTAAATGTAAGAATAAATCACATATGAAAATAATCCTAAATTTATGCAACTTGTAATACCAAATGAAATGACAATGGAAATTGGAGCCAACCTGTGCATCTTCGCGAATACCAATAGTAACATTTATGTTAGTACGTTTTCGCTCCTCTAAAAGTTCGTTGCGCATTTTTCGCACCAACTCATCTTTGATGTGCTTTCTCGCAGTATGTATTATACCCATACCAGCAAATCTGAAATAAGCATACAATACTACTTATATTAATATATATTTATTATATATTATAAATATAATATTAATCAGAGAATAAAGTGAGAAATAAAAATGACATACGTGGCTGTAAAATTGTTTTGCGACGAAACTTCTATATTATGTGGTTCATCTTGATCTGTCGTACCATCTCGTCTCACTAATCTATGAGCATGTGGTGTTCTAGCTCCATCATCGGATGTAACTAATGTGCATCGTATTATTGCTTTGTCCGGAAAATTATTTAACTAAAAATTTGAATATTAATAATGACATTGTGCAGATCAATTCAGATAACTGCATTGGTAATTTTTGTTTGTGTAAAATTGAATTTACTTTGACTGCAGGTGCAGGTTTTTTTCGTGGATTTCCATTTGATACACCCAGCAGAGCTCCGTGTGTTCCCATCATTTCAGATCTGTATCGAAATCTGAATCTCTCCACTGGTTGCACCACAATACTAATATATGCTTCACCAATTGCTATTGTAACAAAATTAAAAAAACATCATAAATTTGTCTTTTAAAATATATTCTCCCTTATATTATCATTAGCATAAGTAAGAACAAATGTTACATTTATAAAAAAAAATAAAAGTAACAAAAGTAGGAAAAATTAAGTATTTTACACATAATCATTGTTTGATAAGAATCAAAGTACCTTCATATCTACATGTATCATCATTAAGAGTAATATAATCCATTAAATGTTGAGGAGATGAAGAAGTAGACATAGGGGATGCACTCATGTTTCCTTGAGATCCAGAACTACTATATGGACTTAATACACTTGTACTATTAGATACTGGTGCCAAATCTGAAAGATAACGAAAGTATAACATTTTAACTATATTTTTTAGATATGTTATGCTATGTGCAGAGTTGGAAAAGTTACTTTTGAAAAATATCATATATTATCAGTCATGGAAAAAATTAATTCATTATACTATTGAATATATACTGCTGTATCAAACTATTATACTATTGAAAAAAATAATGCGACCAAGTTGTTACTAAATAAAGTAATTTTTAACGGTAACAACATTACAGATAATTCTAATTTTGACTATGTATGTATGTATTATAATTACAATAATATATAATGATACAATTATACAATATTATGAAAAAAATATAAGATAGATCTATAAGGATATTGGTCAATGTGTAATATGTGTTTATTTCAATATTCTACAACTTAATGTAGCATGTAAACAGTTTTTACGTATTCATGTAAATCACATTTAAATCAAATTACATTAAAACACGTCGATATAACACAGAAGAGACGCGACTACACATTGATATACACATACACAGCACATCAGTATAGTAAATATTACAGATACAACATTGACCAATTTAAGATTATTGTAATAAGCGCGACTGTGCTGTAGAAATAAATCTTGTAATTATGTAATATAACAAATTTCAAAAATGTTGCGCTTCTCGGACTTTTCAATTCGTTTCACGCACGAAGAGAAGACGTCGCCGAGGTGTTCATTCGCGGAGCATTACCATTGAACGGAAAATATGGCTCTGTCTCGTTATCGGTGATGTTGCCCATCAGCATCGCCATGTTAAAGTTCTCGTATGCGTCTGGCATTGCGTCGAGTTTTTTGTTTATGCAAAAATATACTTTTCGTCGTTTCGCGACTTGTTTACGATTGCAATTTCATCTGTCACACACTCTGTACGTCAGTCCTCGTGACCGAGGAAGTGACGAATCGTTGGACGACGAAATAGAACTACGCTATTTCTCTGGTACTCCGGTCACAACTAATGTGCGCTGCTGAGAGATCATTACTCACCAAACGTTCATAATCAACTAGCTTGAACTTTTGTATGCGTCAGCAACATAACCTTGACGGTTGTCGCAGGTTCTTCCCCGGGAGATTGTGTTAATGTCTACTCACGCGGCCAATCGCGTGGTTCGTCATGTATTTTCCGCGATTAGGAACGTATTCGAGACACGTGGCGCCCTATGTGCCTTTGCTCTTTATTGATTATATTTGTTAACGCATTTTGACGCATCCATTTTTATAGAAAAACATAAATTCTGTAATAATGTTTGATAACAATTTCTAAAAGACGTCTTAAGAGACGTCTGAAAGAACGTTATATTCACTAATGATGTTTTTGAAATGTTTCTACGACTTCCACTGGAAATTTGTACCGTCTGAGAACAATCATTTTCTCGCGGGGGGAATCGCGTAATGTTTCGTTCGTTATTGGCAATGACGCAGATGTGCGAATCGAGAGCGCACTTGGGAATTATCCATTATTCAGTAATCTCATAAGTTAGGCGGAATTAGCAGGAATTAGCGAACGAATGCTGATACAACAAGATCAGACCACCGAAGATGATGAACGCGACCGACCCGATCAAAATTTACATCAGAACTTTCAATTTTATAAGGTCATGATCAACATAGCCAAACTCTGATACCTCCCTATTCTTTTATTTCTATCTATAACTTGCAGGTAAACAATTAATGCGCACAATTATCGTCAGATAATAAAGAGAGGCTTGAAATCGTTTTCGTAGCAATTCGACGTGCATCTGATGCTGCAGTTTCGATACCTACACAAACGACCGCACGACGACGGAAGTTTTCGGACATAGCCTTTTATTTGACGCAGATTGGACGCATGGTGGACAGTCCGCCCACAACTTGATCTGAAGATCTCGATCGTCGTGGACGAACGTACCTCAGCCATCATAGAAAATAGCATGAAAGACCTGCTGATCTCTATCAACTCTCACGGCATGATGTTGAACACAAGGTACATCGATGTTATCTCCGATCTCGACGGAAGTTACAAAGCAGACTTGGTGAAACGCAATATAGTTTGGTCATTTTTCATTCCTACTTTCGCTTATATTTACTTTCATTGTTTCATTTTAATGGGAATTTTACGAAGCGGTCACGCTACAAGCAGTCGATTATATAGTACGTACGGTGAGCGTTCGCTTGATTTTCAAACTGAGCTTTCTCATCTTTACTCAGACTTAGGGATTTTGCTTAGAAAAGTTCCCGCTTGACTTACAACCATGTCCGCATGTCTTTCAAGAACTGCAAGACTCTCATCGTAATGTCGTCTGTCCTCGTTTTTATTGCATAGACTGAGTAGGATTTTCCCCACAGAGACCCTCAATGTAAACGAAATAGTATTGGATTGGGGTGAGGAGTCGAGACCGTTATCGCAAAACTACTTATGTGTAACAGAGTACAAGCTTATGAACATGTGGGTCTTACAGCACTGGAATATCCTGTATCCCTCGTCGCAGTATCATTACGGACATTTCGATAAATTCGATGGATAAATAATTTCGAAATCGACGATGCTTGAATTACTGAAAGAAAGAAAGAGGAAAGGAGGAAACCTACATAATCTTATCAATCATGACAACTATTGCAGTCAACAATTTTAGCTCAATAAATATTGCGTTTAAACTGGTCCTTGACATGAAACTTTTCATGATGGATTATTACGTTTCGTCTATATTAATTGTGCTGATCTCTTGGATGTCTTTCTGATTGCTCATAGATGCGAGTGCACCACGAATAACCGATTACTTTCATTACAAGATTAATTATTACAAAATTACACATGTTATATCATGTTTGTACTTTCCAGAGCTTTCCAAACGCCATCAACATCCTCTCAGTGAGAATAGAGAAGGATAAAGATCCCGATTGTTCAGTCGATAACATCAAGCAGCACCCTATCCTCCAAGTCCTTTACGCATAAGTCAACTCTCGCGAAGTTGCACAACTTCACAACAATGACAACGCAGAAGATTGCTCAAAGTACAAGCGTAATAGAACAGTGTTCTCCATATTGTTCATCATATTTAACATTTTTTACTGGTCATTTATATGGATATAAAATTATAAAATTTCAACGATGAAGACTAAGGACGGAAAGCTAACTAAGGAAGGAATAATCATACGAAATAGCAAGCAAGTAGGACATGCAACATCGCTATTATATTCATTGGTATCATAAGTGGTATCATAATTTCTATAGAATTATTCATGAGGACGGTCGAGACAATGTCGATTACGTTCTCCCTGATGCACGAATCGCGCTCACACGTTTCGTTTCATATTCAATGTCAATAAGGTGACGTCATTTTCTAATCAAACTTTAATCGCATTTTTACTTAGAAACAACGAATCGTTAAAATGTCCGATGACGACTACGATGACGACTATATTTTCTCGCCGCCCTCGATACGTTTCCGTGTCAAGTGAAAAGATATCGAGGAAGGATCATTCTTAAAGAGATACGATCGGCGGAGCGTGTTCGCCCGCGACTTTACGAGAGCGGATATTCGAGAAACTACGTAAGAGACGGATCGACGTGAAGGTCACTTTCGGCCGCTTGAAGGGTTGAAAGAGCGTCACGTGTCTCACGCAATTTTCTTACAATGAATTCCACTTTTTCTTTCTTCCGCTTTTTATTGCCGTGCTACATTCCTGGTGTAATTAATCGGTTGGAAAGGCGATTTTGTACGTAGTCCTAAAATAGTGGCCGTCTTTACACTCGCGTATCGTTTCTTTTTTCAATCGCGCGACACGCTTGTCTCCCCGTCGAATGTCAATGTTGATATGTCGAATATTTATCGAGGAGGAGAATCTAATCTATTAATTCACGTTACGTCAATAAATATAGAGCTCTGTCGCATAATATAATGCAACATTACGTACACATACACACACACACACACACATGCATAGATTCACTGCATGCCGTCGCGTAACGTTCAAGTTTATCAACGGACAAACTTATTATTATTTTCGCAGGGATTCTGCCGATGCAATCAATAATCCATAACTCGCTAGTATTTGGAGGTCAGAGGTAAGAATCCCTTTCCCATCGCATAATGCTTGTTTAATGTTCTTCGCTCCAAATATCGATCGGCGATATCTGACTGGTCTAGCGGTGCTGACCTCGATGCTTAACTGTGTCCAGCATTGATTACTTTCGTCGGTAGAAAATGATAGTGGAACGGATAACTACCCGCAAGATCGGCGAGCCACGGCTTCACACCCGTTTAATTCGGGACATGATCGTTCCCAATGGCACGAGTTTCACGAGAGGCACTTTCGAAATTGTTGCTTACTGGTATAAAACAAAAAGAGTAAAAAATATATGAAAGCAGCTCGAAAAGTTAACGCTCTAACATCTTTTCTCGTAGCGACAGCAAAGCTATCTCATTCGATATCGGAACTCTTTGATCATCAGCCTGATTATAGCTGAATTCTCGCCTAATTATAGCCGCTGATCGTTAAAAAAAAAATCCAGACGACAAAACTTTCTAAAAGATACCTTAGAAATGCCCGAAAGAACGTGGAATTCGCCAACAGTGTCTTTGCAATGTTTTAAAGACTTCTATTAGAAGTTTGCACGAGTAATAAAGCTACTGGGCTCTAATGATTTATCACTTTGCTTCGTCATTGTCAGTAATACTTTTCTGCTGGAGCGGTATCTTGTTAAACGTCGCGTGCACCGCAGATACATGTACCCGATCGATTCTATCGGTAAAGTTGCCGTGCACAGACAGACGCTACTTTCCACGGAGAGCGCTCATCCTTGACATTCTTACGTTACTAATCACGGCCTCATCAGGAGGCACAACTTGTTGAGCGATATGCGGCGAACAAGCAGTTTTAACTCCACTTAGTTAAGTCGCCTTTGAGACGATTTATATTATATGCACAACCACCAACTTGTTCACGCGATAGGACTGTGGGCGTGTTTGCGACCCGCGCGTTATGAGTCTTTCCCCCCCCCTCATTCGTCCTCTTCGTGAATAATTCCTCGAGCTTTCTTCTCTGCTCCCCTACTCCCGCGAGTGACAAGCATTCGTCAATCTTTTATCCATTCAACTCCACGCAACGTTCTCTCATTATGCTGTCGCGCCAATGTCACTTCCGTCATTATTCGTATCGACGATTGATCGATCGATCAATCGACCGATTGTACCGCGAATCTTTAACAATTGTACATACATTATAGTTGAAACTCTAAACAAAGTTTTTTCGTCGAGAGACGCGCGAATTTTTTCTCACTTGATCATGCGAACGTTGCAACGGAAGCGGAAGGATCATTTCTCCACGAGTGTGTTCGTCGTGATCCTCGGTGTCACGACGTAGAAATAGCTCGCGCTTTTTATGCATGCGCCGCGTCATTGTTAATGCAAACCCTTCAAGTCGAATGTCGCGGCATGCGAAAGTATATACTTTCGCGTGACTGGCCTCTGTGTACAAGTTCGTGGACGCCTTACCTGCAGGTGGACAGGTGCGCTTCAGTCGATCGCCTGACTGTGTCGTGATAACACCGCACTCGTCCTCACGCCGCACGCGCATCGGCTATGTGATGCATATTCGCTCGTGTTCACGATACGCGTGTGTTTGTGTGGATGCTCCACGATTTAAATTCACCTCACTGAATTACGGCAGCCGATCACGAGGATCAAAATCGAGTTCGAGTTCGAAGCTGTTTACCCTCATGCGCTCTTTTCCGCTCCCGCGCTCCTTCGTTTCAACAGCTCGAGCTTCTTGTCTTAGGGGTCTTCGTCTACGGCATTTGTTACCGACCATTAATTTTGACAGTAATACTTATCCTAGCGCACTCGACTCTACGAAACGAAAAGTAAAGTCTTCACGTGACAAAATGATCATTCGCGAACCGCAAGTTTGAACAACGAAAATGCGACGCTAAACGCCAACGCGAGTGATCGCATTGATGAAATGGATCGCAGGGAACGCATGTAAAATTTATGTAAACGCGGTGTTTCAGTGGATCGGTACGTTCGTGTGTCGAGCATCTTGTCGACATCAGTCATTCAGCACCACTTGATCTTAAACTTACATTGCACTTTACGACGGCGCATAGAATTATCGTGACACAAGAATGACCCAATACAGCAGCGGTAGCAGCAGCAGTAACAGTAGCACCTGCCGAAATGACTTTAAGGATCGCGGAGCTCGAGTACTGGAGGAGAAACTCATGGTATATATGTATATTTATGACACTTGTCAGATTTTTAAGCAGAGCGAACAAGCAGGCATACGTGGCAAAAAGAGAAAATGAAGAATTTGAATAAATAAAAAACCCGTACAATTTTTGCTCAAAAAGATTTTTCCTATCTACAATAATTATCGAGATAGCATAATGGGGATGAAACTCTGAGGGGCAGTTTTACCCTTTAAACCTGCCGATCAAAAAAATATGGATCTCTTATTTTTGGTTACTCTACAAATATGCAAGTTTCGTCGAAATCGGAGACACACACTTCGCGGATGTTCCTTGCAAGTCAAAAGTCGCTTAAAAATTAAGAAATCCTGAGCTTTGTAAAGTTCAATCAGGCCGGATCAGGCTCCGAACGAGCAAAGCGAATCGATAACACGAGTGAGAAAAGCCACGTTCGCCCATTCGATTTCGAAGCTCTGAAATTTTTTATGCGCGGTGGACAATGCGACAAGACACGCGAGAGCGGCGTTACCTTTTTTTAGCTTCTTTTACGACGACATAAGTGCCGAGTAAAGTGTTCCGAGCGTCGCGTCTGGGATCCATATCGTGCCGGTGTACGCAGGTGACGATCTCTCGGTGATCATACACATTCGTGGAATTCGACGAAAAGCCAATCAATCGCGGGTCATCGCGCCCGACAGTCGTTTCGACTGCAAACCGATAAATAAAAATAACAAAACTGAAGACTCCTTGTTGATGTCACTTGAGACTACTTGTAGACTCGAGATAAATTGTCATATTGTTTACACTCTTGTTTTGGTCAGGTCGCTGTGCGTATTCGACCATTGGCGCCCACTGAGAGCGGCACCAGGTCCTTGCACGCTGTCAACGACAAGGTGAGCTCGCTAATTGGACTTGGCATCCACTTAGATTAACTATTAGGTGTACAAGGATAATTCCGCTGACGACGCTAATGATTGACAGATGGTGATGTTGGAAGACCAGGACAGCGACAAGCAGAAGCGCGCAGTGCCACGGCAATACCTCTACGACATAATCTTCGGCGAAGATTCCACCCAGGCAAGTCACTAAACCGTATTGAAAAAGAAAATCATATTCATTTTCGGTGATAAAAACGAGAAGGACATTTGTACAACGATCACAAGCGATACCTTCGAATACCATAACATGACAGTTTATATTCCTCAACACTTCAGGAGAAGGTTTACGAAGGTACCGCGAAGACCTTGGCGCAGGACGTCCTGAACGGCTACAACGCCACCGTGTTCGCCTACGGTGCGACAGGCTCGGGGAAAACGCACACAATGGTAGGAACATCATCGAATCCTGGAATCATGGTGCGCGCTTTGAACGACATTTTTCTGGCCGCCCAAAAATTGCCGGACAACACAGAATTCACGGTAAGCGAGTGGAGAAGACAGTCACGCTTTTTCCTCAGGATAGAGAAATTTTTGACGAACAACGCGTTATTTCTCAACCCCGTTGAGAAATTCTACTGCATTGAGGTCTTGAGCTTCTTCGATCCAGTTCTCCACGAATCCTTGAAATCGCCCTTGAGAGATCAAACGACAGCCATTCGTCATAGTCACCCCTGCAAGAATAACTAATAAGATATAAATATTTCTTCCGTCATCTCAAATGCGGCGAATGGGGTTCTTTTATCGCGAGAAGAGTGGAGTTTTTTTTATTCGTGCGTGTACGTCTCGCTATTAACAACCGGTCGTAATTCCCTTAGCGGCTAAACAGGAACATATACCCTTACGCCGTTGCAAGTTGCATAAATTTCGCTGTGACGCAGCGAAAATCATAGTAAATCAACCGCCTAAACATGCCGCGCGCACACGTATAATAATTGCATCAATTGCGTGATCGCGAGTCTCGCGTGCGCGGGAATTGCGACAAAGCTGTTTACCGTTGGCGCTCCGTCACTGGCGTCAAATATTAAATTCTATCACACGACACACATATATATACCTACAAATATATTAATATATTATGCAAATGAGAGTTTGCTTTCGCAAGCGCATCACCGTGTGCGCTCTTTATCTCTCTCTTTCTTTCTTTATTAATACTGTATTAATGTGCATCATGTAATTTATGCACACACGGTGTAGCCCTTACATGCTTTTTATTGAACACACACTTCACACACTGCCACAGGTGACGATGTCGTATATGGAAATTTACAACGAGAACATACGCGACCTTCTCAATCCTAGCTCGGGCTATTTGGATTTACGTGACGACACTCGCGGTCGCAATGTCCAGGTCTCAGGACTGACGGAAGTTTCCACCAATTCGACTGAGGAGGTACGATTACTCTAACTCATACTTGACGAGTTGGAAGTCTTAGAAACACAAATCAGGCAAATCGCGGCTGATTCGCATTCGCAGGTGATGCAGCTGTTGCACCGAGGCAACAAAGCGAGGACGATGGAACCGACCGCCGCGAACAAAACCTCGTCGCGAAGCCATGCTCTCCTCAGCGTCACGGTGCGACAATCCTCTCGGCCGGTTCAGGACGGCGATCAACGTCTGCGAAACCGGGTGAAACAAGGCAGGCTGTTCATGATCGATCTCGCCGGGTCCGAACGAGCGAAACAGACCAAGGTAATCATTTCTTCACCGACTGGATATGCTCAATGATGCGATCGATTTTACAGAACAAAGGTAAGAGACTTCAAGAAGGCGCGCACATCAATCGATCTCTTTTGGCGCTGGGTAACTGTATCAACGCTCTGTCCGGTGGTGCACGATATGTGAATTACCGTGACTCCAAGCTCACCAGGTTGCTGAAGGACGCTCTCAGTGGCAATTGCCGAACCGTCATGATCGCGCACGTATCGCCGGCGAGCGCGCACCGAGACGAGAGCAAGAACACCCTGATCTATGCGGATCGCGCTAACAAGATCTCCAATAAGGTCGAGCGGAACGTTTTGGACGTCAGTTACCTGCACGTCGCGCAGTATCGCGATATAATCAGCGATCTGAAGAGCGAGATCTCTCGGCTGCGAAACAAGATGAAGGAGGAAAGGCCGAAGAAGGTGGAGGAGAAGGAACCAGAAAAACACGACAACGATTTCAGATCACTGAGGGAAAAGATCGTGTCCGCCTTTAAAGAGCAGATGCGTCTGAGGTACGTTTTGTAAAGAGCTGAAGAGAAAAATAAGGCACGGAAAGCTCTCGAGGCTTATCTGGGGAACGTTTGTTCACGAACTTCTCCCTTCGGCAGAAGGAAACTGATGGAACTGGACAGTCATTTGCTGGGCTTGAATATCGCGGCTGAGCAGCAACATTCCATAATCTCGCACTGGGAGTCGAGAAACAATAGAGTCTATGGAAAAAGTCGGGATTCCAGCATGCGACGTCCCGACACCGATTACCAAGTAGACGAAGTGGATGATATGGGTAAGTTGTGGGTTAAATATCGAGGTCGAGAAGCGCGAAGTTGAACGTTCACGAGAATGGAAATTCACGATGAACATAGACTCGCTACTAATTTAAAATGCAATTCATGATATCGTGACACGTTCGATCTGTTAGATCTCTTGGAGGACACGGATCTGGAGGACGATGTTGCAGTGCAGCAAGCATGGACAGAACTAACGGAGATCACGAGAGAGCAGGAGAGGTACGCGGAGGTGCGCGCCGCCGCGGAAAAGGAGCTCGAGTCTTGCCGAAAACGCAGTGCGATGCTCGAAGATGTGAGATTCATCTCGTCATTTTACTTATTATTATTATAATTATAATTGAGTCGTACTGTCAAGTCGATCGAACAACTTACCGGATAACGGAAACGAAAAAACGTGTTTCTTCAGGAATTACCGTCGCGTATCAACTCAGACGAGGAACGCGAATTGTTGGCGCTGATGTTGCGCGTCCACGAGTTGGAGGCAGACAAGATGATGCTGCAGAGCGAGAGATTGGTGAAGCAACATGAGCTGAGACGTCGCGAGTTGCTGTTGCTTCGCTATGATCGACAAAGGCAGATCTCTGATGAGATTATTACCAGACAACGACGAATCATGGAAGGTTGGAAACGAGCGATCTCGAAATCAAAATTCTCACGCAGCGTATCTCAAAGATATTTCAAAGACGTATCTTGAACATCTTATTTTCTCGAAGATGTTTTTAAGTCTCGTATTAATAGTCCTCACTTGAAACTTGTCTCATGAACTAAGTGAAGAACTAAGGTCAAAAATTTAAAATTTTATCTGAGTTTCTTTGTTAGATCATGTGATGTACAAAACATTATATTCTTATATTCATTCAACTGAAAAATTCACATCTAACTCCAAATTCTGAGCTGGATACCTCGAGACAAGTTTGAAGTGACTATAAAACGTCTGTATAAACGTTATCTCTGTCATTGCGCGACTTAACGATACATTATACTTATGCGACGTAATAATATACTTATGCACGCGATTCGATTGACAGATGGTCGTTTAACATTGCCGCCCGATCTGCAGAATCTGTACGCCATGTATCAGCAGGAGATCCAAGTCGCGACGTACGTCGATAGCAGCCTCGGCGATCTCGTGTCGCCGATCACGTCGTTTAGCCGTGGGAAATTGCCGCCTATATCCAGCCGGTTGAGTTATGACAATCTCAACAGTGACATGAGAATAGCCAGCAGGTGAGTTGGCGATTATGCATCGTTGGCGTGTATGATCACATCGAACGTCGTCGATCGATCTTTCTCCCTCCGTTGACGGTCATTATCGAATATTCTTTCTTCTTTTTCCTCGTCATTTCACGGCCGAAATCGATTGTTCAGCCATGGCGCGCCGCTAAATTGCGCCTCGCGCGAGGATAATTCGTTCCTCATTGACGAGAAAGCTCGCACATTTATCCACATAGATCGACACGCGCGATGCGAAGCGCTGCAGCGAGATCAATTATAATAATTGCGAAACGCTTGAATTTGCTATGCCGGTGTACTATGTCATGTATGTATGAGCAATAAACGCGGCTGATCGCTCACACGGATCTTTATGAGAGTTCTAAGAATGCACGAATGTATATCACTTTGCGGAAAGCGTGAAAACGGACGAAGCTCCGTCATCGTCGAGGTCGCTTATCGTCCGTCGTGATCGTTAAATGCGTTATCGATTTCCTCGTGGTCAACCGGCCGCGTTCCATCGTTCAAACACGAACGGTTTAGTTGTGAGGACTACCGTAAAATTGTGCGTTGCCTAGAGAAATGACCTCGTGTGACGGTATTTCTTTTGTATGAAAACGCAGTTCGACGGATTCCGACTGGGAGTCACCGCTCCCGCCGATTCAAGAGCCGCCCGAAGTAGAACACGTGATGGGGCCGGTGGTGCAGCCCTTAATTTCTCCGGCCGCACTGTTCCCACCGATATCAGCGGCCAACCCGCGAAACCAGTAAGAAAATTCCACTTACATGACGATCGATACGGGACATGTGATGCACGAGCGCTCGAAAACCCGCCACATGCACATAAACCCGTCTCTTTATTCACTTGGAAAACAACGCGTTTAACTGTACTCTAGTTGTGAGTCGTTGAGTCGCGACGTGAGACTCACATACCTTTTTTACTTTTTCTTTTTAACCAGCGACAAGAAGCTACGTCGAGTAGCGAGCGACGACAGCATCGACTCAGTGCGATTTGTGCATAACAGTGGCGGAGACGGCCGCTACGCCGCTTTCCGAAGGATCGACGACCGCGGAAAAGCCAGTTGAGGTGAGAATTCTAATTAGTTCTACTCATAAGATTTTAGCCCATTAACAATGTTTCATCTATAAGAACGCTTTTTTAACAAACAAAATCATTTAATTAATAGGAATTTTTTATCTGAAAACAGTTGTATAAAAGTTTTATAAAAAAAGTAAATATTTTCTGAAAATACTTACAATATATTGATCTAAAAGCTTTAAGAAATAAACAGACTGAACCTTTAACATAAAATGTTCATGCGAAATAATTATGGCCTTAATGAGTTAATTACATTTTTCATTCTACCAGATTCCTCGGTCAATCATTCCTCTTTATGGCTTTCCAACTACGCAAAAAACTCGCCCTTATTGCGTGAAACGCGGTAAAATGGAAAGCAAGCGGTCGGTCAATATCACTCTCCGGCACTCTATGTGCCGAATGGTTATATTTTTCTCTCTAACATCATTTCCTCGTTATTTGCTCTCTTGCCCATTATTCAACGAGATATGATAGAATGAAACGCAATATGCGCCGTAATGATCGTTCACATAGCTATCTTTCAAGGATTAATTTCGCATGTCTTTACTTCATGCGTTTGCATTTTATATAAGCGAACATCGCAGAATTGTCCTTATCGCAATTCGATGTGTCACTTCACGGACAGAAGCTACTTCGATTTAGCTATTTTTATTTAAAAGTTATTTCTAAAACAATCGGACGCAACCGAAGTGCCAAAGTACAGGATTAAATATATCTTTCCATTATTGCAGATTAATGTTGAAACGTTCCCGTCGTCTCTCACGAGCGCTTTTATGCAACTTGGGCATTGCTTGGACGTTGCTTTGAATTTGAGCGATCTCGGGGATACGTCTGAGCGCCATTGTGTCTTCACCGTTCTCTTCAAAAATATTTTCACTCGTGGACGGGCTGTCGATGACAATGCGACTGCTGCGCAAACGTCTACGCAATATCGTCGCGTCGACTTGAGGCTTGGCGACATCGCGTACAAGGCTCTTAATGCGATGCTTCTCACGAAAATCTTTTGCAACATCCGGAGTCTTACGAACACGTCGCGCACGTCGACGGGATTCGTCGGCTGTACGGACATCGCGCTTTCGCAAACGTCTAATCGTGTCGATTCCGGATGTTTTGCTCAGACTCAACAACTGAAAAGTATTGTTAACAATAAATACCGATCGTTATTTGGCTATGTACCTTTGATTCGTTGTCGAAACAATAATCGCGTCCGAATCATCCGAATATCGACAGCGAGTATTAACAAATCGACGAATATTCTGGCTTATCGACATAATCTCGTCGGATTGTGCAAGATTCTTTTTGATGTATGTGTGAGCGCTTTTTAGAAATTAACGTATCGCATAGCGTATGAAGACTGCTGCTATATAATTACGCATAATATGTGCGTAACTTTTATAAACATGCGGAGGATGGCTTACCGCGAGCCTGGAGGCGGACACATCCGAGTCTGTTCGTCGTGCCAGCATAGATGCCCTCCGCTGTAGAATACCAGTCTCGACCTCGTTGGAGTCGTCGGCCTTCAACACCAGGACGCTATCGTCCTCGTTCACCTGCGACGTCGGATCCAAACCAATGGAATCGTCGTGCGTCGTCCATTCGTCCAGACGCGCGTCCCATTGCTTCTTCCATTCGCCCCAATAAAATTTAGACTTGCCGAATATCAAGGGATCCACGAAAAGTGTGCACCGTCTCCACAGCTGCGCTATCGGAGCAGAAAATGATTATACTCTCTACTTACAAATATAACAAATTCATTCCTAACGTAATCCGTATGTGACTCTTGAGATCTTTGAAATTCCAATTATTTTGAAATAAACTATATCGATTAAATTCGATTAACTACTTCCTACTATTTTTTATATAATTGTAGTACCTGCACAAACTAGGCGAGAGCATTAAAAATATAATATTTGAACGTAGAGTATAACGTAGGCTTGTATAAACAATATTTTTAACGAAACATTTCATCCTTGTACCTTCCGATGCGATATCGTGGAATGTAATTCAAATTGATAATAATCTTAACTTTCTTTTCAAGTAGAAAGAGCAACGTGTCAAGTTACGATTGTCTCGAAAAATCAAGTTATGCGTATCTTACTTTTGGCCGTATTACTATGTCCAATTGCGCGATGTCATAGCATCGAAAGACTTCCATCTTCTTGGAGAGTTCTTTTGTGAAACTATCCATATATTTGGACATCGCATTCCGACACTGCGCGGTCATTTGCGTTGGATATGTTTGCGACAGGTAATTCAATAACGATGACATGAATTTCTAATTATATGAAAGATTTTTAAAAATCAAGGTAAAATGATTAATTTTTTTTACAATTTTATGTAAATAAATTCTTCTGATAATTACATGTTAAATTTATAAATTTCCACTAAGTCTCTAACAAAAATGAAAAAAAAAGTAAATTCTACGTACATGCATATCTTGTTCATTCAATCGCATGTCCTTATGTATCATAGCTATATAACCGACAAACCGATCTAATTGCCTCGGCTTGTTGTTAAAGTCCAACAAAAGAAATCCCATAGCTTCAAAAATCTTTAAAAATTTCTCAATAGTGCGCATGTCGAAGCTCATAGGCAATTTAGGCTCCAACGTGAAATACTTCACGTACTGCGGGTAGGCTTCGCAAAAGCTGAAATTTCATAATTTCTTAAAATCAACGTAATATTATCATTTTCAATCAGGATTTTTAAATGTTTCAGTTATTTTTCATTGATCAATAAAATAGTTTTTGTTACTTACAAATTTTTGTGTAATATTACATACCTCTTGAAGTAGGCATTTCCATGATTTTGAGGACTAATCTCTATTTCTGACCATATTCTTTTAACCAGTGCATATTCTTCATTGCTGAATTTATAATAATTCAAAGAACCAGAACTCTCATAAATGCTATGTTTTATACCCATTTATAACTAATAAAAGAGTACTTCCCTTTTGTGACAAGAATGTATTAGAAATACATGACACTATGTGTAATAAATCATACAAAAAAGAAAAACTGAATATAGTAATGTGAAGTATGCCTAAATATTATTTCATAAATCCCTTTAGGAGTTGCAGTGTTTTGTTATTGGTAAAATTCACTTCAGAAATAAACTTATATAGGAATCAAAAGATTTATTCATCAATAACAAAACATTCTAATTACATTACTAAATACATAATTAAAAAAATTTTTACTATAAATTAGTAAGATAACTGAGAATTATCTTAAGTTAAGTTATAATAAGTCTTGTTCGCAATTTTTAGTTATATATACATATACATATATATATATATATATATATACACACATATGTACAAAAATATAAAATCATATGATCATATCAGAAATGGTATACAGTTATGTTATTAAATTATTATTTACGACAAAACAGATGTTTTACCAGGTGCATATATTTTTACTTGCCAATCCAATAATTTAAATAAATATATAATTTTTTCTGGCCAATGATATTTAGACCTAATGCTATTTGTTCTCCAACAAATAGTTAATTTACCAGATGCATCACTTGAGTGACCTGTGATAAGTGGCTCAGTTGTGACACACAGATGTGCCATATGTTTGAAGCAATTAGCAACCATGTCTGCATCTGAGATCTTTGGATCTTCTTGATATGTATGTGTAAGAATATAAAGTTGTGATATACCATGTGATGCCATAAACGATCTTAAGTATCTTATTAAATACATAACATCATGTACACTAAGGCCTAAATTAAAAAGATGACTTATATCATCAATCACAAGAACTACAGATGCATTAAAGTTAGCTGCTTCTTCACATTTCTCTTTAATGCATCTAAAAAGCCTGTACACAATATCTTTGTGTTCTTGAGAAATAATATCCGCAATTATTTTTTCATTGTCTATAGAATCTTTACATATGTCAATAACATTGCTAGCTACAATTTTCATTGGTTCTACAACAGTAACCTGACCTTCTGCTTTTAGTGACAAAAGATTATAGCCAAACCTTACACCGATATTATGATAGTGACCAAAGGTATTATGACAATGAACAAGACAAACAGCATTTCCCTTCTTCAATGTGTCCGATAGTATGGCGTTCACCAAAAAGTTTGCATTGGTACCATGTTGCTCCTCAATCAAAACCATTTTGCCATCCATAATTACTCTGTCAATTCCGAGAGTGTTGCACACCATTTCCATTGTGCTGGCCATGATAAACTGAAAACACAAATTACAATATATTTCGCGAAAAGATCAACACTCTTGCATAACTTGACATATTACACACTAAGAACTCAATGTGCTTTATAACCTAAAAAGCGCGCAAAGTACAATGAGCGCACAAACATAGAAATCAAATGTATTTTAAGCCTAATTTATTACTTAATTCAAGAGTTTATCAACAGTAGATTTGTTCATAATTATAATAACATTCAATTGCATTACTAATAACAGAAAAATTTTATCGCATTTAATTAATTTACCTCTCAATAGTAATACTGTAAGATACAGACGAGGGAGGACAGCACCAGCCTATTCCCGGGAAGCCACTGAGGAAAGGCTGTTCCCCACAGTTCAAACTCGGGAATGGAGAAAAGGATAAAAGGGAACGCATGGAGGGAGACGGAGCTTTTTGCCTTTAGCTTTTTGCCATTGAACGTCGAGACGAATAATAATAATCAAGTCGAGTCGAAAGACAAGTCGTAGATCGTTAAGCTTTGTAAAGAGATATATTTAGTATAAATTGCGGTGTCGGTATTATTATATTTGAGTTCTTTTAAAATATACATATACTTATATTCTTGTTTAATAAGAGGAGTTCACATTAATCGCTCGGAACCTTTACATCCTGAACATTCCCTATATCTAACACAGAAGGAGGATCTTTCCGAAGAGAAGAGAAAAGAGATATAGACGAAATCTCTTTAAATCTTACAATACCGTACGACGAGAGTTAGCACCGTTTTCTCTCTCTCTCTCTTTTAATATTGGCGCCTGTTAAGACGAATTCCCCAACAAGTTAGCACCGTTGAGTCAAAAAATTTGAATCGAACGACGTTAACAATCGATACAATTAATTGAACATATTGATATTATCGATATATCGCAAAAAATTATCGATTGTTATAATCACTTATTCTTGAATTTAAACAATGTTGTAACTAACTTTGTTAGATTTAAAGCTTAAAGCTTTGAAATTTTTTATTCTTTTCAAATTTCACTAATATTTTGTATGTTATAATGCTTTTGCACAAGAATATTATTTATATAATAATACAGATTATTATTATTAACTATAATTATGCAATAAAAGTGCAAAACTATAGAAAATATATTGGCATTATCGGTTCTCTCAACGTTGCAACGAAACCGTGTCCAACATTGCACCTTAGTTAAAGAAATCGCGTCTCATGATCATGTGTTAATCCTGCTCTAACTTACTGTTCAAACACACAGCTGTATGTTTCCACGTCAACTGATAATGTGATAAATGTGATAAAAAGCTGTTTAATGCTCCTAAGAATGGAATGTTGCGTTTCACGTGGCTGTCAGCTGATGCGCGCGCACGACGCGGCAATCCGCTCCAGAGGAGCGATCTACTATTTCAGTCGAGTTCCGGCAGTTGTCCAGGCAGGTTCAATTTCTCGTATCGACATTGATGCTCTGGTTGCGTCATTGCGTCGGATACGTCCCATGTGTGAATATGTTCGTATTCATTTTCGTATGATTTTCGTTTAATGTAACATCATGCGCAGAACTCATTAACGATTTTCGAAAATGCATCAGAGTTAATTATGTCGAAATAGTCTTAATGAACAAATGTGTTACGCATACGCACGACTTTGACAAGCAATTCATTAATTTAATCAACAATAAATTATGAACAGTGTTTGAATTTGCCTTGATAACAAATGATCATTCGAGCGACCGCAAGCTTTATCACTATTTCCTGTCGAGTCATGCTTGTCCAGACCTCCCGTTAATGAAAATTCTGTGTCGCAAATACAAAAAAGTCTCTTTCACTGTCGTTTGTAAAAAGAAAAAAGCGAATTATACATAAGTTCTTAATTACTTCAGAAATCTACATATCACTATCACACAAGGTCGTTATTTAACATTAAATTTAATTTTAGCATCGTTCGCGAATAATTCGTTGAGTCAAGATTTCCGGTTATTTCAAGAGATCGCGGAACATCGCGAATTCCATGTTTACGTTTTGCTAAAGCAAATTTTTAAAAACATTTTTAATAATATGAAAATATAATTTAAATATATATATTAAAAATATATATTTTGCTATATATATATATATATATAGATTGTGAAAAAGTTTTATTATTAAAAAATATATAAAATTTATATATTTTGCTATATATCGCATAATTAATTTATATATTGTATTGTACATTAATTTGTATTGTATATAATTTTTCTAGTTTTACCATCCTGTTTTATAGTCAAATGGAAAAAAAGTTGCTATTTTTATATAACGATTAATATATTGATGTTGTAATTAGTATCAATAAAAGGTGAAATTTGAATAAATTATATTTTTAAACAAGTCCATGAATAACTTAATTATTCTGTTTAAATTGTTGTAGATATGTCTCTAGTTTATGCTTGATATAAAGTGTGTAAAATGACAATGACGATGACTGACAAAAGCAAGAAATTATCACGTTGGTACTTTGGTGGTGTTTCTTCTGCAGCTGCTGCATGTGTAACACATCCACTAGATTTACTTAAGGTTCTTTTCTCATATAATTCTTAGCTGAAATATGCTTAGCTGTAAAATATTGTAATATTTATAAATTAATAAACAAATTAAAATTTAATCTCTAGGTTCACCTACAAACTCAACAAGAAGGGAAAATATCAATTGCACGTTCGACTGTAGGAATAATTAAAAAACAAGGAATATTAGCTTTATACAATGGACTTAGTGCTTCTTTACTTCGCCAACTTACATATTCTACAATAAGATTTGGAGCATATGAGGTTGGTATGTTGGAAATTTTTCTAGGTATATTATATAGACCATTTTCTCATTTCATTATATACAAGTCATTGTTGAACAAAATAGGTCGGCAAACAGACGCTTGAAACACCTGGCCATCCATTACCCTTTTATCAAAAGTTACTATTAGCAGGAGTTTCTGGTGCTACAGGTGGTGTTTTTGGAACTCCTAGCGATGTAATTAATGTACGTATGCAGAATGATATCAAGTTAGCGCCAGAACTAAGAAGAAAGTAAGAATTAAAATTTGCCTATATTCATCTACGTGTATCTTCTCATGGACGTATATCATAGAATATGGTTTGCTTTTTAATACAGCTATAAACATGCTTTGGACGGACTGTTGCGTGTAATTCAACAAGAAGGACTTCGTCATTTATTTAATGGATGTTCCACCGCGACTATAAGAGCATCGCTGATGACTATTGGACAATTGAGCTTTTACGATCAAATAAAAATGACGTTGTTACAGAGTGGATATTTTCAAGATAATCCTTCGACTCATGTTTTATCTAGTGTATCAGCTGTAAGTCTACATGTATCGAGACTAAAACATTTCAACTTCTTTATGTATTTAAGGTGTTTTGTATTTAAATTTAATTAAAAAGAATTAAAATTTAAGATTTTATCTAATTTCTATTTGTGCTAACAGGGTGCTATTGCAACAACACTTACGCAACCTTTAGACGTCCTGAAGACACGAGCAATGAATGCTAAGCCTGGTGAATTTAAAGTAAGTATAAAAATTTTATAAAAATTTAACAACATAAACCACTGATACAATTATTTTTCCTGCACAGAGTCTGATTGAAATCTTCCTGTATACTGCCAAATTAGGACCTCTTGCTTTCTTCAAAGTAAATATAACATATCAAAAAATATTTTTCTATATATAGATATGCGTTAATATTAATATTAATATTCATATGTTAATATTAATATGTGTTAATATTAATAAATAATTAATATTCTTTTTTTTTAGGGCTATGTACCTGCATTTATTCGGTTAGCGCCGCAAACTATTCTTACATTTGTATTTCTTGAACAACTTAGATCGAATTTTGGATTTTATCCACAAACTACAAAACAGTCGTTATAAATTTGAAACTGACGTTGAAAAATTTTAGTTCTTAACATCAATTTGTCAAAGATATCGAAACAGATCTGTTTTATGACAATTCATACAGGGTACAAGTTGATACAAATGCCATACTTTATTATATATATGACAAGTACATTGCTTATATTGCTATTATTATAGACAGGTGATTACTGCTTATATTATGTAAACTATTGTCTAAACACAAAACATTCCGTACAAATATTTATTAATTGTTTACGAATAATTTAAACTCTATTGTGTTAGTGCCAAGAATTTATAGTTACATAATATATATATAGTATTAATATATTATGATCTATATTTCCAGAGAAATATTTACATTTTAACAAACACGAATCATTGAATGTTCCAATCAATACATTCCTCATAGAATTGTGATATATGTATGTGGTGACATAATTGTACAAATCGTATCTATACATTTATATATGTATATACATTTACTTGCATTACTTTTTATACTCGTGATTTTGTTAGTACAAAAAGTAAAAAAATATGCATTTATTTACGAAAACTAAGTTTTATAAGATACATTTCTGTATACATATATTTATTATATATACTATTATTATTGTAATTCTTTATTATATATATATATATATTTCACGTGGTCCGTGCTATTTTTATAAGTGAAATTATCAATGTAACAAAATGTATAGTACAACTCATACATGAAAGCTTTAGAAAAGTATATATATATATTATTTTTTAAATTGCTAACATACAATATACAAAGGAAAACACGACATATAGTTTTGTTAAAAACATGAATAGTTTGCTAACAAAAATGTGAATTATTTTTTATGCGATATTAACATAATAATTATAAATTCTTTGATCATATGTACGCATTTGTGAGATAAAATAAAATTTATTGTGAAATTTTTATATTATAATTATAAGTCGTAGAATATGTTGTGATATTATTATCTAATCAATTTCATTTTAAGGAATTGACTGATGAGTGACACAAATTGTTCCTTTATGTTTATAATATTAAACAAAATATATGGACATACTATTTATATCTGTTTATATATGTGTGTATAAACAATTTATTAGGAATAATTGAAGTTATTTAATAGGTAATACAACTATTTTAGGGTTGGTCAACTTTATATATGGATTTAACTTTTTCTCTTCTGAAAATAATTCAGTTTCACTGATATAATATTCTTGTAAAACATTTTCCACATTTTCTACTGATAACATGTTTATAACACCTGGAGGTACCCCAGATGTTGAAAACATATCACAATATGGTGCCAGACTACAATATTCTGAGTTACATAACACAATGACAGAATTGCCAGTAATTAAAGCTAATGTCATCTGCTGAAACAACATATGTAAGGTCTTTGCCTTAAGGGTGACAATACCGCGTGGTTTACGCATTATTGTTACTTCTAATCTTCCATTTTGAGGACATGTTATTGAATTTTCAAAGAAATATGAAGATTTCATCCATTTTGATATTATATCTGCCAGTTCAGATTTACTAAAAAAAGAGAAACTGTCAATTAACTATAATAATAATAATAGGAAATATAAAAAATTTCTTAATAATTTAACATACTTATTGCATTCTAATGTGGATGCCAATTTAGATAACACTTGTATTCTGGAATCAATAAATTTAGCACTCCAAATTTTGGCTCCTTTCTCAGCTGCATCAATACATCTTTTAATATCATCACTATATGCAATACATAAATAATAACAAGAAATTAATTATAAAAATTCAATGTATGAATATTATTAAATATATTCTATAATTATATATAATTAGAAGAATAAAATCAAGAAAAGTATATAAATTCATACCTAGTTGCGTTCGCCCATAGATTATCTTCATTTAACCAATATGTATCTTTTATAGGTTTTTGCCACATGCCATCATAAAACAGATTGTAGGACAAACATTTAGATACATTTGGTTTCATTATACTTGCAGATTTCTCTTGCACTATGAGACAATTAATCAATTTTGTTGGATATGGGAAGATTATGATACCACCATAGAAATCCATAAATGTATTGATAAATATAACATCTCTCTGAATGTTAAAAACAAATTAATTTAACGCTTGAAATAAATTGATAATATTGTGTTATACAATTTACATGACATACATTTAAAGATTTTGCTAAATTCTTTGCAGCTATAATATCTTCTGACCATATGGATGTCACACTTAACTTTTTCGATACATTAGAATCAAGTAACTCCTGCTTTGATCGAAATACACGGATAAACTGACATGATTTGTTTATAAATACATTCTTTGCTAATGGTTCCTGAATCCATACTGTATCGAAAACAAATTTTTCTAGTATATTAATAACTGCATGTAAATCTGAATCTTCTAAAATTATTGCTTCTTTGTACTGAACTGTAAAAATTTAAAGAATTTTGATTACAAAATAGAAAAAGATAAGAAAACATTTTTATTGTATTATATATTTTTTCTTACTTAAAGTTTGATTATATATTTTTTGTTCAAAATCCTCCAGGTTGGAATTTTGCCTAACAATAAAAAAAAATTATACATTTTTAAAACTAATGATAATATTGATCTGAAAATATTCTATCGTATTTAATTGAGAATAAATAAGAATCTGTTTTAAAAAATATGTTAGTGTAATTACAGAAGATTTTTTGATAAGAATGATTGCATCTTGGTATGTGTACATATATCAAAAAGCATAATTATTACTGCTATTACTTCCTCTTCTTCTTCTAAAACAACAAAATTATAAATAGACCTTATATACAAACATATTTTGTATTATATTCTTAAACAAAATAAAATATTATACAATAAACAATATATAAAACATAAGTATTTTTATATTATATTTTTTACTTACCAAGCTTATTAAGTTTGTTGATCATGAATTTCATACCATAATAGTTTAAATATTTAATAATAGTACTAACTATATCTACATCTTCATAAAGAGATTGGAAAAGAGGCAAATTCTTTTCTATTACATTTGCTGTTTCAAGAAACCTACAAATATAAATAAAACACACTAAAAATGATCACAAAATTCAAAGCAGCTTTTATTTGTGATGTTAAATATTTACCTTTTTGAAAAATTATCATTTTTTTGAAAAACTATTTTATTAGATAAATCATGTAATTCCGCTAATGCTATCTAAAACATAGTATGCATGCAATATTTTATCAATAATATAGATTAGAGGTTATGTTCGAAATATTAAAGTGAATCTTATAACTTATTAATATATTTATATTAATAATATATTAATATACTAATTATACTTATATACTTATTAATATACTAATATACTTATTAATATATTAATACACATATGTCGAATACATGTACTCACGTTTTCGTCGAATTCATTGTATTGTAGATCTTCATAATAATCGCTTATACTTTTATTCTTCATGATATATCAGCCTCAAAAATATGTAAAAATTGAAAAAGTATGTATGTAATTGATCGTTAGGTACGTTAGGTACGCAAGAACAAGTAAAGACTTCCTCAGTTTTGTTCTTACGAAGAGATACTTCGATTTGAGACGAAAAATGATTATATAAAATACACTACAGCTGATATCTTTACAAATGATAACAAAAAGATTAGGGATTAATTGCGATATCATACACAAAATGTATGCAACAAGTGTTCATGTCACAGAGACGACCATTTTCACTAGTGTAAATCTTTCTACGTAAAAATAATTTGTTACTTTTCTTGATACAATATTTTTACATACTGTTGTTCCTTATGATTTAGATGATAAAGAGTTTGTAGATAAGACTATAATTCGATTATTTATAAATTTATTAAATTATTTTTAAAATAATTTCTGATATTTCTAAATATTATATTGCACTTAAAACCATCTCTTTTGCCTCGATCAATTTTGCATCTAAAAATAAAAGGTACTTTGTATCAAGAAATATTAATGATCATTTCATTGGACACATCATCTTATGATAATCTGTGGCCAATAAAAACTCCGTCTATTATTGGAAAACACTTATATATGAACACTTATATATATGTTTAAACACTGGAAGAAAAAAATAAAGAAATACCGATTTTTAATACAGATACAGATGAAATAATAAGACACATATAAACAATTCGTTTTCTAAATCTAAAAATTTTACCGCTGTTAACATTCCACTGTAAAATATTCTAGACCGCAATAACTTTAATACTAACAATTCCCTAATTAAATAAAAATATACGAAAAAAATTCCTAGAGCAATCACATCGATAACAAATATAAACAATATATTTTCTGTCACTTTTCAGGCATCTTTTTCTATTATCCTACCTTGAAGTTAATTATATCACTTTGGAACATTCAAGATTTTGCAAACGAGATACAGATAACACAAAATGCCACGGCGATTTGGTGACTGTCCCTGACGTACAACTTTCAAATCTAACAGTATCAACCTGCGCGGTTTCGCGCAACCAACTTCAGGCGGTAATTTGAGTTCGTTAAAAACTTCATATATGGGCAACGAAGTGCTACGGTGATTTGGACATTCCTCGCGCGATTTCATCGGGGCAGCGTGATGTTTTTCGCAGAGTACGTGATTCTTATCGATTCGTCATGCGGGAACGCCGAAGAGAACGCGATTTCGCGGTGTATGCATACGCGCGCGGCACAACCACTCCGCGAAATAACCTAAATATCTCTCTGTCTTTCTTTAGCACGCGCGCGCGTGAACCTACGCGTTTCGACGCGTCGTCCATGAGGTTCAGCGTCTCATCTTGCTTTTTCAGATCGCGTATGCACTGCGTCCTTCTACATGATCGGCCATGAGTTCCTTTTAAGTTCCGGGACGCTATCAGACTCGCGTGGCCGACGCGGCCTCTCGTTCGTCGCAATCTAACACCATGGCACGCCGTGGAAAGCGAGACCTCAAACTTAACGTCTCCGATGAAACACCCGCGCCAGTGTATGTATAGAAGCGATGACATCTTTCTTGAATATTGAGACAGTGTTACAGTGTACTGTATGTTATGCTTTGTGCTTTGTGGTGAATTAAAAAATATAAATAATTCTCGGAAAAATAAGACCAATGTGTGCAGCATTGTGTTACATTGTGTGCAACGATATATGATTTATTCTGCTTGTTCAGAAGAAAATATGTATATCAGTTTTTTAAGTTTTCTTAAATCTCATGGATATTCTGTTTCAGGACGCCACCAAGGAATTTAGACAAACGGACTACTATTACTATTGATGATAAAACATTTGTTGTGGAAGCTGACGACTTGGAAACACTTTGTGTACTCGGCCGTGGAGCATATGGGATTGTTGATAAAATGCGACACAAGCAAAGTGGCACAATTATGGCAGTAAAGGTATTGTTACATATAAAATATGTAATATATGTATATTATATTTTGATATATGAAATCATATATAATTATCTCTATGTGCGATTAATTTCTATTTATATAATATTTATATAATAGAGAATAACTGCTACGGTTAACACACAAGAACAAAAGCGGCTGCTTATGGACCTAGATATTTCTATGCGTAGTTCAGCATGTTCCTACACAGTACAATTTTACGGAGCCTTATTTCGAGAGGGAGATGTATGGATATGCATGGAAGTAATGGATATGAGCCTTGATAAATTTTATATGAAAGTTTACAAACATGGCCGTGCTATTCCTGAAGATATTTTAGGAAAAGTGGCTTTTGCGGTATGTATACATTCACATATTCAATAATATTGTATATTAATGTGGTTATTTCTTGCATTTATCCACTTTATCTTAATATTTATTTGTATATTCGATTCTGAACTCTCTAATAAAAAAATATCCATATTGTTGTATTAATATTTGCAGGTAGTAAGTGCATTGCATTACCTCTATTCACAATTACGGGTAATTCACAGGGACGTTAAGCCTAGTAATATTCTAATCAATCGAAAAGGTGAAGTGAAGATTTGTGACTTTGGTATATCTGGTTATCTTGTGGATTCAGTTGCTAAGACTATCGATGCTGGTTGTAAACCATATATGGCTGTACGTAATCGTATATATAATTCTCATTGCGGAAATTTTACTTGTCTTGTCAATACATTCTCCACTATTGCCTTTTTTTGTAGCCAGAAAGGATAGATCCGTCGGGTAACCCGTCGCAGTACGACATCAGATCCGACGTCTGGTCATTAGGAATTTCCCTTGTTGAATTAGCCACGGGTAAATTTCCATACGAGTCGTGGGGTACACCATTCGAGCAACTGAAACAAGTGGTGAAAGACGAAGCTCCGAAGTTACCTGCTGACAAATTCTCCTCTTCGTTTGAGGAATTTATTAATAAGTGGTAAATGACAGCATATACATGGGGCAAAATTATTGCTTATCACTTGTGAATCTTATAGGTGATGTTTCTTCATCTATCTTTGTTCTGCTTTCAGTCTAATGAAAAATTACACTGCCCGTCCAAACTACAGTCAATTGTTGGAACTCAACTTTATCACGGAACACGCTCAGAAAGACATAAATGTGGCAGAATTTGTCGGAGAGATTCTAGACTTACCAGAAAACGAGCAGCCGGCATAGTGCATATTGTGCCAGTTAATCTAACTTGACCTGCAACTTCAATCTTAGCGAGACAGTCATTTAATTCCATCTTTTCATATGTAATTTATATTATCAAATTTTCCAATCATTGTACATTGAAGTGTAATGCACTTGAATGGTTATTCCTTTATTGATCATATTAATTTTTATTAATATTAATTGTATCGGTAATGATTTTTACCAGTAATTGTAGTGTCTCCGAGTTTGGTTTGAAAAATAACTATTTGCATCATTCTTCTAATCATACACTGAAGTAAATCATACAAAATAGTAAGTAGATGTTTTTATATGATATAGCAATATAGTTAGCATTTGTCATATTGATAAAAAGTGGATAGATAAAATCTTTACAACAGTCTCATTAATATATACATTTTTACGAATATAAATTAGGAGACCAAGATGAAGTTGAATATTGAAAAATGGCACGGCATATATAATCAAATATCCATAATCAAAATTATGTCTGAAATATAATCCGATCTACGGATTGTCAGTTCAATGTAATAAAATTTACATTAATAGTAGATATTAAAGTTTGAATTATATGTGCATAGTGTAGAATTAATATTATACACGGTAGAAATCTCGTAGAAGAGTTCTCGATTTCTTTTTATATATGATTTAGAACTATTATGTATAATCAAATTGATCTTAAATAAACGATCATTTAAATGGCCTCGATATGTATAACAAATTCAGTTATTTTAAATAAAAAGGTTACCAGAGAGATTTGCTGTTCTAACAAAATATATTTGTTATATTTTACATACTTTCCTATAAAAATTCCTAACTTATTAACAAGTAATAGATAGACTAGTATAATTTATGCAAAATGTACGCCTTCTGCATTGAATGCATGTAAAAGCCTGAAAAAAATACATATTTATTAATTTCAATATATCCTAACTTGTACAAACTATCAAGTTATTGTAAGTTTAAATAATCAAATGTAGTCTACTGCACAAAAGCAATGTATAATGCATGAATAATTCCATTAACTTGTTTTTCATACTTGATAAAATCAGGTATGTCCATAGTCCTGGCTCGTTTGTTTTCTGCTTTTGTTTTTTTTAAAATGTGGTCTGCCAATTGTTTGATATCAAAATTGTCTGGGAAAACCTATGTATCAATTGATAAATAATAAATAATAAACAATGATAGACATTTAAATTTTGTATGTTATACAATTTTTATTTTCATAGCAATCAAACTTACCTTGTTATTCAAAGAACAATGAATCTTATAATTCTTTTCCAACATAGTGGTAACTGTGTTTTGCTTGAAGGCTGCAGAGAGAGTCTTATTTTTTCTGAGAAATGCAATTCTTGTCAGACTATCCCATTCTTGATAATTGATCGGTGGTGATGGATTTCTTGGCTCAATTCTTACTACATTTGATTCTACCTTAGGTGGAGGCTTAAAATTATTCTTTCCGACTTTCATCAGCATATCTACTCGTGCCAATAATTGTGTGTTAATGCTCAAGCGACAATACAATTTGTCACCAGGTTTAGCTACCAAACGCTCTGCAAATTCTCTTTGAAACATAAGTACAGCACATCTGTAAAAAATCATGTGCATATCAGCTCCTTTATATTATATATACATTAAAAAATAACAAGGTCCATTTAAAAATGTAATAAAGTGTTATATGATTTAAAAATTAATAAACATTAATTTAAAGGTAGAATTAAGTATTAGTAACATTAATATTGTCTCTTTTTGGAGTTTTACTATATCTTTTCATATCTTTCAATTACCTGAATAATGGTCTGTGCAAAAGTAGTTTGAACACTAACGGCGACGATATCTGATATGGTATGTTAGCAACACACAAATCAAAAAAGGGTAAATCTGACTTTAATACATCTCCAACCATTATTTCTAATTTTGGCTGATACAGTGTTCCTTGAACACGTTTTTGTAATTCCGCTACTAATCTTGGATCTACTTCGTATGCTATAACTTTTTTTGCTTTTTCTAGCAGTTTTATCGTCATATTACCTGTACCAGGACCAACTTCCAATATAACATCGGTTGGCCTGAGTGCAGCTTTTTCTACCATATTTTGTATGATTAACGGATTCTTCAAAATGTGTTGACCAAAATCCTTATTAAACAAGATACCTGTGCGTTACGAAAAGAATGAAGCAAATTAAACATGTAAAATATATTTTGTATAAAAATTCGATATATAAACTAAACGCAGGGTTATTCTCAAGTTGATCTATTAATAAATTTTAACCTTGTCTAGCTACTTCTTTGTGAACACGAGCCGTAACTTGCGTACGAACTTTCGGCATTGTGTTTATTTAAAAATCAAAATGTATGTATTTAAACGAATATATGTACACATCAAGTAGGAACAAGCAGGAACGTTTAAATAGCAACCACATGGCACGAGTAACAATACAGCGCACACATGAAACCAGACGCGCCACGCCGTATGTATGTATTTTGTACACACTCATTCATTCATTCAATAAATGGCTGTGCGCTGGAAATGTATGTATACACTTTGGCTAGTTATTTTATAGATGCATACGCGATTTTGCATCGAATCCTAGTGACATCTACAGGGTATTAGCACAGAAAGAAGATCAAACGTCACAGTGAGCGTCCTTAATTGGGTGCATTCAGTACTCCAACCGTTCACTGAGCACACAATGAGCTTTTACATTTGATTGGTATATTCTTTTAGCTTTAAATATATACACCAATCAGGTGCAAAAGCTCACTTAGCGCTCAGTGAGCGGTTGTAGTACTAGCCGCGTTCAGTAGAACAAAGTGATCAGAGAGCGCTTAGTGATTATTGTTTGTGATTGGAGCATTTTTATAGATTCTTCATAGACCCAAAAGTCTTTACCAATCAGGAGCGAGATTCAATGGAAAATGTAGTAATGTTGTCCAACTGTTGAGTCTGCTGAATGCAGCCATTGGCCGCGTTCAATAGAACAAAGTGATCAGAGAGAGCTTAGTGGTTATCGTCTGTGATTGGAGCATTCTGTTAGATTCTTCGTAGAGCCAGAAGTATTTACCAATCAGGAGCGAGATTCAGTGGAAAATCTAGTAATGTTGTCCAACTGTTGAGTCTGCTGAATGCAGCCAACGTCTTTTCTAGGGGAAATGGAATTTCCGATCGGAATCGATTCCAACGCGTTCCATGATAGGTACCCAGATATCCAATAAAAAGATCTGTATTCTACAGATTATTCCAAAAGAAATTTTCTCACTGGACATCGGATGCGTTTTGAGATGCATCAAGAAAGAAGTGTCCCAGACTTCTTTGCGAATGAGTATAAGCAGAGAGGAATATGAGAGTGGCCAACACGGCGTTTTCGGCGACACCGACTTTCTGTATTGTGAAAGGGTGCCATCTGCATCCATTTTGAGAGGGGAATTATGATGCTACATCTACTTTTAGGTTTCGGCGGTAAAACCTATATGTACTGGCAGTCCGTACTACATCCATTTTCAGGCGGTTTATGTCCATGCTACAACCATAATAGCGTACTTGACAAACACGGTCGCGCACATTGTTAATATCTCCGCTTCTATTGGGAATTGAAAGTCGAGCTTTATGATGAGAATAGGATAGATATTGGACCATATTGTGATAAAAGCCTGTCCCTGCACCTTGAACCGTTTAGGAGACAAAGGCCCGTTCCTGTATCTTTAACCGTTTAGGAGATATCGAAGGTTAAAGTTTTAAATTGTACTTTTAATATCTCCGTTTCTACTGCGAATTAAGAGTCGAGCTTTATGGTGAGAATAGTGTTGATATAGGACTATATTGTGGTAAAAGCGCATTCCTGTATATTGAGCCGTTTAGGAAATATCGAAGGTAAAATTTTTAATTTTTATGTTCATATCTCCTTTCCTATTGCAAATTGAGAGTCGAGCTTCATCGTGAGAATAGGGTTGATAAAGGACTATATTGTAGCAAAAAAAACATGCCTGTATCTTGAGCCGTCTAGGAGATATCGAAGGTTAAAGTTTTTCAACATGTACCGCTAATATCTCCGCTTCCACTGAGAATTGAGAGTCAGCATTTAGGGTGAAAATAGGAGTGACATAGGACCATATTGCGGCAAAAAAGCAGGCCTGTATTTTAACCATTTAGGAGATATCGAAAGTTAAAGTTTTTCAAATTGAATCGTTAATATCTCCGCTTCTACTGGGAATTGAGAGACGAGATTTGTGGTGAGCATAGGGTAGATACAGGACAATATTGTAGTAAAAAACGTGCCTATATCTTAAGCGGTTTAGAAGATATCGAAAGCTAAAGTATTACAATTTGTTCCATTGATATCTCCGCTTCAACTGGGAGTTAAGAGTAGAAATTTCTGGTGGGCTGTAGGGTTTTTACAGCACTATATTTTGGTGAAAGAAACAGGCCTGTATCTCCAACCGTTTAGGAGATATCGAAGGTTACAGTTTTCCAACCTTTCTCCGTTGATATCTCCGCTTCTACTGGGAGCAGAGAGTCGTCATTTACGGCAAAATGTAGGGTTTTGAGAGGACTTTAATTTGGTGCCAGAAACAGGCCTGTATCTCTAACCGTTTAGGAGATATCGAAGGTTAAAGTTTTCCAACCTTTCTCCGTTGATATCTCCGCTTCTACTGGGAGCAGAGAGTCGTCATTTACGGCAAAATGTAGGGTTTAGAGAGGACTTTAATTTGGTGCCAGAAACAAGCCTGTATCTCTAACCGTTTAAGAGATATCGAAGGTTAAAGTTTTCCAACCTTTCTCCGTTGATATCTCCGCTTCTACTGGGAGCAGAGAGTCGTCATTTACGGCAAAATGTAGGGTTTTGAGAGGACTTTAATTTGGTGCCAGAAACAGGCCTGTATCTCTAACCGTTTAGGAGGTATCGAAGGTTAAAGTTTTCCAACCTTTCTCCGTTGATATCTCCGCTTCTACTGGGAGCAGAGAGTCGTCATTTACGGCAAAATGTAGGGTTTTGAGAGGACTTTAATTTGGTGCCAGAAACAGGCCTGTATCTCTAACCGTTTAGGAGGTATCGAAGGTTAAAGTTTTCCAACCTTTCTCCGTTGATATCTCCGCTTCTACTGGGAGCAGAGAGTCGTCATTTACGGCAAAATGTAGGGTTTTGAGAGGACTTTAATTTGGTGCCAGAAACAGGCCTGTATCTCTAACCGTTTAGGAGATATCGAAGGTTAAAGTTTTCCAACCTTTCTCCGTTGATATATCCGCTTCTACTGGGAGCAGAGAGTCGTCATTTACGGCAAAATGTAGGGTTTTGAGAGGACTTTAATTTGGTGCCAGAAACAGGCCTGTATCTCTAACCGTTTAGGAGATATCGAAGGTTAAAGTTTTCCAACCTTTCTCCGTTGATATCTCCGCTTCTACTGGGAGCACAGAGTCGTCAATTACGGCAAAATGTAGGGTTTAGAGAGGACTTTAATTTGGTGCCAGAAACAGGCCTGTATCTCTAACCGTTTAGGAGGTATCGAAGGTTAAAGTTTTCCAACATTCTCCGTTGATATCTCCGCTTCTACTGGGAGCAGAGAGATTTCATTTACGGCAAAATGTAGGGTTTTGAGAGGACTTTAATTTGGTGCCAGAAACAGGCCAGTATCTCTAACCGTTTAGGAGATATCGAAGGTTAAAGTTTTCCAACCTTTCTCCGTTGATATCTCCACTTCTACTGGGAGCAGAGAGTCGTCATTTACGGCAAAATGTAGGGTTTTGAGAAGACTTTAATTTGGTGCCAGAAACAGGCCTGTATCTCTAACCGTTTAGGAGATATCGGAGGTTAAAATTTTCCAACCTTTCTCCGTTGATATCTCCGCTTCTACTGGGAGTAGAGAGTCGTCATTTACGGCAAAATGTAGGGTTTTGAGAGGACTACATTTTGGTGCCAGAAACAGGCCTGTATCTCTAACCGTTTAGGAGATATCGAAGGTTAAAGTTTTCCAACATTTCTCCGTTGATATCTCCGCTTCTACTGGGAGCAGAGAGACGTCATTTACGGCAAAATGTAGGGTTTTGAGAGGACTTTAATTTGGTGCCAGAAACAGGCCTGTATCTCTAACCGTTTAGGAGATATCGAAGGTTAAAGTTTTCCAACCTTTCTCCGTTGATATCTCCGCTTCTACTGGGAGCAGAGAGTCGTCATTTACGGCAAAATGTAGGGTTTTGAGAGGACTTTAATTTGGTGCCAGAAACAGGCCTGCATCTCTAACCGTTTAGGAGATATCGAAGGTTAAAGTTTTCCAACCTTTCTCCGTTGATATCTCCGCTTCTACTGGGAGCAGAGATTCGTCATTTACGGCAAAATGTAGGGTTTAGAGAGGACTTTAATTTGGTGCCAGAAACAAGCCTGTATCTCTAACCGTTTAAGAGATATCGAAGGTTAAAGTTTTCCAACCTTTCTCCGTTGATATCTCCGCTTCTACTGAGAGCAGAGAGTCGTCATTTACGGCAAAATGTAGGGTTTTGAGAGGACTTTAATTTGGTGCCAGAAACAGGCCTGTATCTCTAACCGTTTAGGAGGTATCGAAGGTTAAAGTTTTCCAACCTTTCTCCGTTGATATCTCCGCTTCTACTAGGAGCAGAGAGTCGTCATTTACGGCAAAATGTAGGGTTTTGAGAGGATTTTAATTTGGTGCCAGAAACAGGCCTGTATCTCTAACCGTTTAGGAGATATCGAAGGTTAAAGTTTTCCAAGCTTTCTCCGTTGATATCTCCGCTTCTACTGGGAGCAGAGAGTCGTCATTTACGGCAAAATGTAGGGTTTAGAGAGGACTTTAATTTGGTGCCAGAAACAGGCCTGTATCTCTAACCGTTTAGGAGATATCGAAGGTTAAAATTTTCCAACCTTTCTCCGTTGATATCTCCGCTTCTACTGGGAGCAGAGAGTCGTCATTTACGGCAAAATGTAGGGTTTTGAGAGGATTTTAATTTGGTGCCAGAACCAGGCCTGTATCTCTAACCGTTTAGGAGATATCGAAGGTTAAAGTTTTCCAACCTTTCTCCGTTGATATCTCCGCTTCTACTGGGAGCAGAGAGTCGTCATTTACGGCAAAATGTAGGGTTTTGAGAGGACTTTAATTTGGTGCCAGAAACAGGCCTGTATCTCTAACCGTTTAGGAGATATCGAAGGTTAAAGTTTTCCAACCTTTCTCCGTTGATATCTCCGCTTCTACTGGGAGCACAGAGTCGTCAATTACGGCAAAATGTAGGGTTTAGAGAGGACTTTAATTTGGTGCCAGAAACAGGCCTGTATCTCTAACCGTTTAGGAGGTATCGAAGGTTAAAGTTTTCCAACATTCTCCGTTGATATCTCCGCTTCTACTGGGAGCAGAGAGACGTCATTTACGGCAAAATGTAGGGTTTTGAGAGGACTTTAATTTGGTGCCAGAAACAGGCCTGTATCTCTAACCGTTTAGGAGATATCGAAGGTTAAAGTTTTCCAACCTTTCTCCGTTGATATCTCCGCTTCTACTGGGAGCAGAGAGTCGTCATTTACGG